TACGACCAAAATTGAGTTAGTTACACTTGATGATCAATTTTTAAAAAAATTGCCATTTTTTTTGCACACCACTGTATTTCACATTTGTCTTCACTAGTCTCAAAAGTAGTATGAACAACTTTAGAATCCTATTAGCAAATGATCAAATCAGATAAATTTGTTATATTTAATAATCTCTCGGATGTAAGATCCAAACCTAATGGTATTTACCATAGAATTATCATAAAACTCTACTTCTCTCCACCCGAAAGCTCCTCCAATTCACCCAAAATTTCACTTGGTATGTCAGCTGTATTACATATGAGACAGACGTATTAGCATTCATACTTGCGAGGGACGAAACACAATATAAGCACGAGGCTCATGTTGAAGAAGATCTTGGAAAGATGGTTTGTCCAGCGCGATCCATGTGTGAATATTGTTGGCATAAAGACGATCCATATCGTTCGTTGCCTTCTTGTACCAAATTTCAATGAGCCAATATAATTCAGTCATTGAAAGTCCTCCACATTATCAAGGTCTTCATCAGAATTCATTTTCGCAGAGGCCTTAATGGTGCACAAATGCCAGTATCGAATTTGAGACTCCAAAGGATTTAAAACTTATCGTAGGATAGATACGTGGGCATTCTCCTCTAAAGAATTTAGGGCTTATTGTAGGATAGTCACGCGAGCCCACAGACGTAGACATATCATAGTCTAAAATCCTGTTGACTGCGCAGACTAGTAGAAAAAATATCATCCATGCCATTGTGTGCAACTCTCATCACGGTCTCCAATAACTTCTCATGATGACGACGGGAAAATAGCCACATTAGAATGAGGCCAAAAAACAGATTACACCACACAGGAAGGTGGCCAAAAATTAGATTACACCATGTATGATACACCATAGTCTAAGCTAAGTCGGTTCATAAATGAACCAACTCCAAATGCCCAAAATAACCATTGTAACTCACTAAAAATATTTTAGTGAATTCTTCCTCAGCACTCTCCAGATATTTCCATATTTGAAACTGGTTTAATTCAAGTATAGGATCTTTTGAAATATTGGATTCTTTTGTTGATACTAATTTATGGAATAATATGGTACATATCTTTATACATTGCTTTACAGGAATTTTCTTTTTTATCTATTTATAATTTTTTTTTTTTGAATCTTAATATTAAAAATAGATTGAAGTGTAATGTGATCTGTATTATTTGGGTTTAAAAATAAACTCTTTTGCCCAAATTCATCGGAACTCTGAAATCTAAATGTCCACTTTGTGTGCATATACTATATTATTCTTATATAATATATCATATTTATTATGTTACATGATTATTTATAAATTATTCATAAATTGTATAAAAGATAAATAAAATAAAATAAAGTTAATTGACAGAAATGTAAACTTATATATTATTTAGTCTTTTTAAAGAAAATAAAAAAATTAAAATTAAAATTAAAATTGCAAAACATTGCTTAAAGTAAAGGTTAAAATCACTATAAATACATTCATTATTTACAACTTTTTAAATACTTTTTTTTTATTATAACATATTATTCTGGATATGTACTGTATATTGAGAATACATGCAGGATATATTTATATATGTCAAGTGGATCCAACAGAATTTGATCTAAGATTTATATCATCAGAATAATTCTATCATTCTATTAAAAGAATATCACAATCAAATAATTATCATTGAGAGAAAAAAAGCAATAAGGTAAGTGGTAAGAACTGTCAATCACATGTTACCCAATGATATTAATAATATTTTTATTATTTGAAATTTTAATTAAAATTTAAACAGGATATGAATATAAATTTATATTCGTTTAGGGAAAATGAGAAATTCGAGAAGCATTTAGAAATTTAGAACCTAAACAAGTTCAATATTACTGGTAAAAGATCATCAACGTATACCTCATACTAAACCAATTTCACATCGATAGAATTATAGCACGCGTTTTACTGAATACTGAGTTGCGGTATATTACGTATTTACATTTTTATAATTTTTCATTGTTGCCACATGGGGAATCCTTTTAATTAACAACCAATAACATTATTGCATTATTCTTTTGACAATATGACGATGATCGGTGTATATCTATGAAAAAGCAATGCAATAAATATTATATTAAATGATTCTATATGAATACTCATGAATATAAAACTATATGAAACTAGAGGAGAATGTATGTATTGCATCAATGCTGTCCTTAAAAAAGTTAGTTTTTTTTTAAAAAACGCGTGAAAAATATCAAAAAATACATTTATTAAATGCATTGATAATCTTACTTTTAGGCTTTATTGTTATTTTTGTGAATTATCCTTTATTAAAGTCATAATAATTATGATGGTGACGATGTTGCCAAGAAATATTAACCGACCTGATACATCACATATAATATATTAATTAATTAATATTATTATAATGAGAACTTTTTTGAGATGAAGAAGAACGAGAAGAAGACGAAGAAGAAAGAAAAGAAAACAAGATGATCCGTTATGATAATGTTGTTGATTCATGATCTACTTTAAAAAAATTTTAATTCCTCGGGTTTTGATTATTTTTATTCTAATTTGTTTAAAAAAAAATGAAAGAATATGCAAAATGCAATTATTTCTTTCAATGCATGCAAATGTAATGTGTATATATATTTGTATTTATAATTTAAATATATAATTTATATATTTATATTTATGTATGTCTATAATAATAATACTTTTTTTTTCTAGTGACAATGTCGAAATACCCAAGGAAATTTACTTAAAATTTTTTTTGTGATTTATTAATTCTGAGATAAATTCAATTGTCATTTTTAATAAATTATTTTGATATATACTGTATATCTCTCTTTCTCTTTACATAATTAGAATTAAATGACTATTTATAATCATGCAATTGACATTACAAACAATGAATAACGTCACAAAAAAGAACAGAAATATCCTTGAGAATTAAATTTAAAAACAAATTTAGTGATTTAACTTATTTTATTTGAAATTATTTGAAATTCTTCAATTTATTTATTTGAAATTCTTCAACTTTATTTTGAAACAATTCAATTAATTTGGAATTATTTGAAATATTTAAAATGATTATCTGTTATCATGTTTTTTTTATATATCTAATATATTTTCCATCTATCCTTTTCTCTCTCTATCTCGTTATTATTATTATTACTATCATCATTATTTATTTATTATTATTATTTTGGTTATTTATCTCGTGAATTTTAACTTTTATTTATATTTGAACCTCGTGTCTCTCTCTTTTTTTTAAAAAAAATTACAATTTATAAATAACGTTTGTTTTTTGAAGATATGATTGGTATCATTCACGTTTTTTAGTTTGCAATTTTTTTTCATATTTTGTTATTTATTTATTTACTGTATTTATTTTATTTATTTTGTCATAGTAAAATCCATAAAAACCAAATTTGTGATATTCCAAAAACATTAAAAACACTTTATTTATTCTATTGACATAACACAAAATCTACAAAATCTTAAAAAATCTTGATAATAACCTGTCAAAAAAATTTATTAATTTATTTATTTTATTTAACGTATTTAAACTTGTATTTAACTTGTATTTTAACTTGTATATTTAATGTGATTTTAAAGAATTTAGAATAAATTGATTAATTAGATTAAAATAAATGTCGTGATACTATTATGTTGTGATATGATGATGTTTGTGATATTGATTGATAAATTTGTAATATAAAATTTTAAAATATTTAGAATATTATAATATTTGTAAAACATATAATAATCTCTATATTTATTCTATTTTTATCCTATTGGTAAATGAATTTTTTTTTTTTTGCCCACGAGAAAATAATCGAAAAGAATCGAAAAGAATCGAAAATAATAATTAAAAAAATTAAAAATTAATAAAAAATAATAAAATAATAAAAATAATAATAATAATAAATAAATAAAATAATTTAACGTGTGAAAATGTTTTGAATTTTTCTATTATTTCTATTATTATTTAATTTTCTTTTTTTTTTAATTGATTTTACCTCGTGGCTTAGGAATTAAATAAAATAAATAAAATAAATAATAAATAATAAATTATTAGTTGACTATGATTTCCATGATGGAAAGTATTTTTTGAAAAAAAAAGAGAAAAGAAAGAAAATAAATAATCATAAATATAAAAAATAATGATTTAATTAATTATTAAATTAATAATAATTAAATATTCCACTAAATTATTACATTACATACATATATATATATATAAGTATATATATGCGTATAATATATTTTTAGTAATTATATAAAAACGTTTGTCGAGTTTAGTTATAAAATAAAGTTGATTAATTAAAGTTATTAAATAAAAATTGATAAATTAAAGTTATAGAACATTAAAGTTATAGTACAAACAAATATGTATATAAAACCATCATTATGATTACTATGACTTAAAAAAGAAACTTTTGATTGGTATTAATTATTTTTATTATTATTATTTTTTTCTCATAGTGAACATATATGATAAATAATAATAAATAAAAATCGATTCTTTATTGTAGTTATTGGTTTTTTCATCAATTTCCTTTGATTTTCTTTGATTTTCTCTCTTTCAGAATAAATAATAATACAGATACGGAAAAGAAATTACATGTAAAAAAAAAAATAAACAATAAAATTAAATAATATCTATAATAATGTTAAATATTAATAAACGATGATAGTAATAAATATAATAATAATAAATAATAAAGACAAATAATAATAATAATAATAATAATAAATTATATTAATTATAAAATATTGATTATTTACCTAATAATTAATAACGAATTTACCTAATAACTAATTTTGATTAATTTTATAACTAATTATTTATAAATAAAGTAAATAATTCAATTATCCGATTTGTTTATCTTAACACATGTTTATTTGTTTGTTATTTTTTTTTTTTTACGATAAAAAGAGTGATAATCGATATATATATATTTTGTCAAGTTTAAGACTTGAATTTTTTTATATAAATCGCTTATTGTTTATTTCCTTTTTTATTTAATAGTCATCTAATAATCATCTATATTTATAAATGATATTTATTATTTTTTATTACCTTTATTAGATTTTATTATATTATTTTTTTTTATATTTATTTTAATTATTATTATATTATTTTTTTTTTCTTCATGAAATTTCTGCCATTATTATTTGCCTACATATCAAATTACATTTATACATATGTGAGTGTGTATATTATTTTATAGTACGTACTTTTTTTATATCACCAACAAAATAACTTTAATAATAACTTTAATTAACTTTAAATAATAACTTATACATATAATAACTTTAATAACTTTAATAATAACTTTATTTCAATGAATCAAATCATTTAATTAGTAACTTTATTTTTTCATTAACTATAATAATCATATTTTATTGATATCTATCGATATTTATTGACGAATGCAAACTTCTGGGATGCTTATCAATTATTACATCGAGAAGCATTAAAAAAAAATAGCTAAAATCTATTAATAAGCTATATTTGATATATTTTGCATGTGAATTATATTGCAATACTTATGCAATAAAATATATAACTTTATTATATAAAATATATATCAATATATATATATATATCAATATAATTCAATAGTCTAAATAGATAGATTTTATGCTTTATGTCAATTTATATCTAATTTAGATAATGAAATGAATAGATATTAACATTAATATGATTGCATAAAATTAATCCTTTTATAACAATGTCATATTTTTTCTTTTGTAATTTCTGATTTAGAGAAGTAAAATTTAAGTACGCATACATAACAGATATAACTACACGAATCAAATAACTGTCGTATTGTAATTGTAATTAATACGATTATTTCAAAATTATTTTGATTGATTCAATTATTTTATTATTTTTGGAGAAACGTTCGTATATAATGATGTATATTCATGTAATAATAATGTAATAATAATATTTTATGAAAAAATAAGAATAATTAAAGTATTTAAATAATCGAGATCATAAAAACCGTTAATTATTATGTAATATTGGTTGTTTGAATCTTAATTCAATTACAAATATTATGTAAAATGACTAAAAATGAGATTTTTTTGTTAAGAACGCTCCTTTGCATTAATTGTGCATTGTTACATTGTTACAATATTATTTTTGTGACATCTCATTATATCTCTAATTATACTTTGTGGTGTTTATAACTGATGTTATAATAAGTGTTTTTACATTATCACATATTACGCACAAAACTCACATAATATTCTTACAATATTCACTTACAATATTCGCACAAAAACTCTTACAATATTCTTAAGTCACACATATACAGCATAATAATAAGAGTAATACAATTTATCAGGTATATCAAGAAGTCTAATGAATCCTAAATTCTTTAACATGATATTTAACCAATCAAAGTAAAATAAGATAAGGAAATGATAACAATGAAATAGTGACATATAATCTAAACTATTTTTTTTTTATATAATGCTAATATACTCGCATCAGACCTAATCATTCTATTATTATTTTATACTATTATTTTATAATATTTTATAATATTTTTAACCGTTATATTGTTTTTATACTATTCTATTATTATTATTATCATTATTAAATCATTCATTTATTTATTCATTCATTTATTCATTCATTTATCAGAAAAAATCAATGATTTCCAAATAGTAACTCTATAATACGTAATAGTAAATAGTGTAATTGCGGTAATTAATGCGTTACTTATTAGAAATATTGTCAGCCAAAAAAAGTTTTTTTTTTCTCGTGTCAACCGAAACTATAACGATATATATTTTTTATATCTCGATATATATAAATATATTACGGAAATATATATATAAAAACAAAAATATAGAAAAATATAAAATATAAAATATGAATAAATATGAATAATATGAATAAATGAAGAAGTAAATTAATAAATAAATGAAGAAGTAAATTAATAAATAAATGAATAATTAACTATCAATCAAAAAAAAGACAATCTTATATTTTAATTTTTTTTTTTTTTTATTCCTGTTGTTATTATTATTATATTATTTTATTGATTATTTGTTATTATTTGTTATTAGAATTCACAATTCCACAAAAAAAAAAAAATTCGAATTCACCAATTACACAACATTGATTTAAATTTATATATAAAAAACCTGTTTGTAAAAAAAAACTATCGTCATAAAATGATATAAATTAAACCCCCTCGAAACTTCCTTTCATTCTCAACATATTTATCAAAACTTTAGTTTTTGATTTTGAATCGTGTGTTTTTTTTTTGTATAATTAAAATTTAAACTTGAGGAATTTGAGATTTGAAATCTGATCCTCGACAAAATTCTTTAAAATTCTTTAAACACAGTATCTTCATCTTCTTATCTTTAAAACATTTGTTCTTTTTTAACAAAAAATATTATAAAAATAATTATTATTGTTATTCATTAAAAAAAAAAAATGTTATTCAACAGTTTATTGTTAGCACTTAACCGAGTAGTGGAATCATGTATTCCACATAAAAATTATCAAGAATTTAAAGAAGATTCAGATAATAATTCTAATAATGATGATTCCGATACAATTTATTTACTTGATGAAAAAGAAACAATATTCGACCAAGAAACCATTACAAATAAAGATAAAAAACAAAATCACGGAAACAAAAAAAACATTTATAATAATAATCGTAAAAACCCTAAACCTAAACGTAGTAACAGTAATTTATTTAAATTATCAACGAAATGGGATTTTTCAACTCCAAGTGTAAATAGTAGTATAATATCCGTTAGTTCAATCGTTACTCCACCTAGTCCCAATGCCGTATCCGCTCCTTTATGGAAAGAACAAGTAGATCCAAATATTAAAGCCGAATTATCTCAAGAAGAAATTCATCGACAAGAAATTATTTTTGAAATAATTCGAACCGAATGTGATTTTGCTAATGATATCCGATATCTTATTGAGGTAAAGTATAAATAAATGATTATGATTATTTAATTATTTAATTATTTATATTATTTCTTTATTTATCTATTATTATTCTATTATTCTATTATTATTTCTTTATTTATCCTATTGTAATAATATTATACATATTGATAAACCTTATTATTCATGTCATTCACATATATAACATCTTATTCATGTACATCTTATTCTTTATACATTTATCATATTTACATTTTATTCCATTTAAATTCATTTAATTCATTTTGTTTCCCATTTTTAGAATTATTTCAATTTACTTTTTTTGATGTCCATATATAAATACTAATTTTTAATAATTCTAATTATAATAATAATATAATAGCATTATATAAATCCATTACAAGATTCTGGAATTCGTCTATCTCGTAGTCTTCAACAAACTTTTGATATATTACCGTTCATTCAATTATTCCATTTTCAGGTTTCAGTGGTTAGTATTTTTATTATTACATATTTTCATTTATTTATTTATTGTTTTAATTTATTATTATTTTTTACTTACTTTATACTAACTTTTTACTTCTTTTCTTTTTCTATCTACCATTTTCTATATTAACCTTTAATTAATTATTTTATATGCTATGCCCATCATTCACCTATATAAAAAAAATAAAATAAAATAAATAATTACCAAATTTAACTTAATAGCAATTTAGATGCATACAAGCCATAATGTATCCTGTTGTACCTTCGATAACACATATTCTTCGAGATTTAGCCAAACAATTCTCAATTTATGAATCATATCTGATACATTATAAAGCTGCCATATCAGAAATTGCTTATTCTAAAAAGAAAAAAAATAAATTAGGTCAATTAGTTAAATCTTTAGAATCTAATGTTCCTCCTTCTGGTAGTTGTAGATATTTAACTATTGAAAGTTTATTGACTAAGCCATTTCAGAGATTATGCAAATATCCTTTATTGGTTAAGGTATGATATAATATAATTTAATTATATTAATTATTATATTAATTATTATTATTGTATTAATTATTCTCACTTTATTTATTATATTTTCTTAGACTCTTTTAAAAGTTACACCATCTGGACACGAAGATTTCAATTCCTTAAGAGATTTACATGATCAAATTGATTGTGCTCTCAATGAATTGCAAGAACGTAAATACGAATACGAAAGAAAATTTAAAAATGATAGTGATGCCTTTCTTCCAAGGAATTTAGGGGTAATTATTTTAACTTTTTTTAGTTTATTTTAATTTATTTTAATTTATTTTTTAACTTATTTTAACTAATTCTCTTATTTCTATTATTTTTTTTTTTTTACCTATATATATAGACTTTAAATCCTTTTAGCAAAAAATATCCATACTCACAATATAAACGTTCTGGAACTTTATCATTCGTGAGATAATTTTGATATTGTTTATACAATGTTATTATTATTTTCCCTTTTGTTTTGTTTGTAATATATTTTCTTTTTCTTTCTTTCTCTTTCTTTCTTTTTCTTTTTTTCTTTCTTTCTTTCTTTCTTTCTTTCTTTCTTTTATATATATAAGTGTAGCATTTTTCTTCATGTCACATATGTTTTTAACATGTGCTATGATTTTTTATATTTCACACTTATGAATAACTCAAAAAAACAAAAAAGAAAAATCCCCCAAAAAAATAGTAAAAAATATATATATAAAATATAAAAAAAAAATGACACCACCCACACACACGCGTACAAATACAACAAAACCACATTTATAAGAAAACAACATCACTTTCACCATTACCATCATCATCTAACATATATCAACACTCAAAACAACACTCACACGACATTCCATCATCAATCATTCATCTTTTCATAATTCATCTCATGTACACATAAAAAAAAATCTTCAAAAAAAAAAATAAACAAAAAAGAATATATAAAAAGTAAAATCTCACTCAAAACTTATTTTTTTTTTGTTTAATGATGATTTTTTTTAAGCTATAAAATACATATAAAAATACTATATACAATAATAATATAAACAATAAACACAAACAATTTGTAAAAAATACAAACAAGCAAACAAACAAACCTTATGATAATTACGAAAATCACGACAAAAAAAAAAAAAAAAAAAGAGACAAAAAATACGCGTATCGATATGTTGATAAAAGTGTAAGTGGTGTCGTCTCCCAAAATACTATTTTAAATATAATATTTATGTTCATAATAAGTAAAAAAACTTTATAATTACAATTCTTTTTATTATTATTTATCATTTATTATTATATATATTCTTTATTATTTATTATTATATATACTCTTTATTCTTTATTTTTATACATATTCTTTATTATTTATTATTATTATTATATATATTCTTTATTTTTTTATTATTATATTTATTTATAGTTTCTGCTGAGCAGAGCTTTAACATTTTGCATTATTATTATTTTTTTTTATATATATCTTATTTGTTTTATTATTTATTTCATTATTCTTTAAATACTTTAGAGAGAGATAAAGAAATGATTTGTTCTTATCCATCCAAGAAATATATATATATAATATTTTATATATATTATTTATTTATTATTTAGAAATAAGAAATTCATAAAAATATGCAAAAGAAAGAAAGTTAGGAAATTGGAAAAATTATTTTAAAAATTTATGTACAGTAAAAAAAAAATAATAATAATAATACATATAGAAAAATTCATAATTTAAGAGATTTGTATTATATATATTTTGTAAATTAGGTATTAGATTTTTTTTTTAGAATTTATTATTCAATATTTTCAATGATTTGTAGATATTTTTAAAAGAAATACATAGAAATAAATGAATTTCTCACTTCAATTTCTGCACGTAGATCAAAAAATATTAAAAATATAATATTCATTTTATGATAATGATTACTATAAAAGTAAAATTAAAGCCATGAAGTCACGTCATGTGAGATAATATTAATTATCATTCCCGGTAATAATGTCCGTTCTGTTACACGCATGCATGCAATTTAGGAACGAAAAAAAAAATTTCCAAAGAGAATTTTTTTTTTTTTTTTTTTTATGAAAACAATAATGTCATTATAAAGAAAAATTTAGCCAAGACAAAATTAGTAAATTTAATTTATTTTTTTTAATAAATGTATGAATTTGTCTAAATGTGAATGAGTGATTTTTTAATATTTTCTCGGGGCATTGACAAAAATATTATATATTTGTATATTTAGTATGTATATATGCGTATGTATATGCGTGTACAGTATATATGTATGTATGTAATCTCCAAACCAACAACAAACTGGTTTAAATTTTCCGTATATATGATTACCCGATACATTTATTTCTTAAAACAAAAAAAAAAATGGCTCAGGTTAAATTTTTTTACGTGTTAATGCTTAATAATAATTATAATTTCTATAATAAATTTTAATTCTGAAACATTTGTTTTTTTTTTTTTGAAACAAAATAAAAAAAGTCATTAACAAAAAATATAACAAATAAATAAACATAAATATAGCGTATTGTTATTATATTTTTTAAACATAATAGGAAATTAACATTACACATGGCACCCTCCCCTTCTCTTTCGTCCATTCACATCATTTAATTTCATCATTCTTTTGCCTTCTCTATCTCTTTTTCTTATACAAACAAACAAATAAAAAACTCAACCAATCTTGGGAGGAAAAACAAAACGCCCATGTTTTTTTTTTGTCGTCTTCTTTTTTGCTGAGTTTCTTCTGCTGTGTTATTTTGTTATGTTGGGTTTTATTAAAATTCTCAATTTCATGAGAAACAAATTTCATTCGGAAAAAGAAATTCTAATTTCATTCATGTGAGAATTTAGGATTACGAATTAAAATTTGCCTACAATAATCCTTTCGCATAATTTCATATAAAATCAATTTTGATTACTGGGTGGTGGGCGTGAATTTATTATCGCCATTTCGTATAACTGGCTTGTCTGCAACATTAAAACTATATTATAAATGTATAATTGTACTACTATTACTTTTATTAATACTACGGAAAAGATTAGATTCATGTGCTAATAATAATACGAAAGAATTCTTAAGTTCTTTTTTTTTTTATATAACGGGAAGAAAGAAAAAAGAAAGAAAAAAAGAAAAGGAAAAGACAAAGGATTGACATTAATAGTAATAGTAACAGTAACATATCTTTACAGGCATGTCTTTACTATAATATCTTATTGCCGGTATACATATCTTATTGTTGATGTTATCTTTACTAATATATCTTACTGATTTTCATTTTATCTAGAATTGGCAATTATTATTTACGATCAGTTCTTCTATTTCTTCTGCATTTCATTTTTTCTGCATCATTTTTTCTGGGGGGAGGAATAATCTATTTGAATAAATTATGGAAATTTATAATTAATAGTTAACATTAACAGTTTTGATTTATTTATTTATTTATTTCATTAGTTGATAAATTATCAATCATTTATTATGGTCTGTGTTCTGTTCATTCTTTAGACTGAAAAATATTTTATATGGTGCATACAATATATCAATAATTAAAAAAAAAAAGTTGATAAAATTTTATTGATTAAATTATGTATTGATAATAATAATAACGCACATTTTGTTGTCATTTGTTGTTGTTTGCTGTTTTTATAACGCACATTTGTTATTTCAATTTTATTAATTATAATTATAGATTAATTATGTATTTGGATTCTATTATGTATGTTAACTGAATATACCAAAATGTTTGTTAATGATCTTCTAAAAAAAGTATTTGATTTTTTTTTTATGTAGTTTTCCATATTAGGGTAAGATAAATTTATCCCCAGTTTCAAGGATCTAAAAAAAATTTTACCTATTCTGATTATCCAATCAACAAAATGAACTATGATTGTTAATGATTTCATTGAAGCAAAATCCGAGAGATATTATGTAATTCAATTTGTACAATTTGTAATAATTCAATCTTGATTTTTTGAAGACCTGACTTCTGATAAGAAAAAAAAAAAAAGTCAAGAAAGCCAAGAAAGCCAAGAAACAAGATAATTTAAAATCTATATTTGTTTAAATTTAATATTTACAATGAATTTCACATTTGAAAATGGTATTGTTAGAAAATTTCCAAACATAACGCACAATAATTCCAGTATTATAAAATTTCCCAGAAAGAGAGAGAACCTTAAAAAAAAAACAATAACAATGATAATTATATTACTGTATTGATGCATGCATTTAATTACAAAAAAAAATAATAATAAAGAATATTATGGTAAGAATAAATCAAATACATTCGGGTTCAAACATTCAATGGTTCACTATTCAGCTTTATTTTGTGTGCTGATCTTTATGTCATTATTATTATTAATCACAAACTCCTCAAACACCAAGACCAATAATTTTCTTCTTTATTCCTCATGTGATTTTTTAGAGATCCATTGTTCATAATTCATTGTAACTTATCATAAATAAGATGAGATAATAAAAAAAAAATTTAATACACTTTACAAGATCCCTGCATATTTTTTTGTAACCGATGACAACGAAAAATATAAGTGTACGGAAGATCAAAAACTATTGGATAATATTTATGTGTAATATGTATCTGAAATGTGATATCATATTCATTTCTGCAATGTGATTGTGATATTATTATAATCTATCTCATATTTATCATATACAATTCAATTAATCATGTTAAAATGATAACGGATAATAAAACATGGAAGATAATTACTCAAAATATAAGAGGGATAAATGAAGTAATTGATCGTAATTAATTAATTTTTTTTTTCTTTTTCAAATATTTTGCTCAATATTTTTGTATATATTAATTAAAGTATAACAGATTTTATATCACATTATATTACATTATATATCTTTACTCTATTACCTATTACTATGCACTGTACTGTGAAGATTGATTTATTTATTTATTTATTTATTTATTTTATTTTTATTCAGATTTCTGTTCTTTTTCTTCACCAATATCCAATTTATATATTTTATAATCACTATTATTTTGAATCTCATCACTTTCTTGACCAATTATAGCAATAGAATATTCTTTAGATCCTTCAAATTGTTTTTTTAAATATAAATTTGCTGCTATTTTAACATCCCCTTCAGTTATTGATAATAATTGTTCACGTCGTTTTTGTCTTAAATCATCAGAAATTCTTTCACTGAAATAAATATTTCCTTCTTGTGAAACACTTATTGGTGCATCTAAACCTTGAAATATTGATAATTTTGCTTCATCAATTTCCTATAAGATATTATAATAATGTAATTTATTATGATAATTAATATTTATAATAAATAATGATAATTATAATAATGAGAATTAATATTTATAATATTTTTTATTGTTTACCTGTTGAGTAAATTTTCTATCTAAAACCCAATTTATTGATTTATGAAATGTTTCTAATGTATCTAATGCCTTTGGATCTCGATATGAATAAAATGAAAATATTCCATTTGTTGATGAATAAACTGCGCCACCTCCATAAGCTCCATTTCGTTCACGAATTTCTCGATGCAAATAGTGAGTTTTCATTAATGATGATAAGACCTTAAGGGAAGAAAGTGAGTGCGTATTAGAGAGGGTTTCAGAGAGATTATGTAAATTTTGTTAATTATTTACCTGTAATTTAGCACTGTCGGGATGAGAATAAGGAACACCTCTGAAAGCCTTTGCACAAAAATTTACTGCAAACGGAAATGGAAAGAAAGCTTTCTCATTTTTTATTTGAAATTTAAGTTTTTCTATGTTTTCTTTATCTCTATTATAATTATTATTACTTTCGGGAAATCCATTCAAAAATTTTTTTAATACGGTTTCATTTTTGTTAACAATTTCCGAACTACAATTTATCGCGACTCTTAAAGATGGTTTATTTAATACCAATGATGAAATCTCCTATTATATTATTATAATTTATTAATATTATTGAATTAAATTGATTGATGATCAATAATTAATTAATCGATAATTCAATAATTTGATTAAATTAATTTATTTACCTTTAATTTGTTTACAATAATATCAAAATCTTTGGACTGCGCTAGTTTATTCATGAAATACACTTGTGTCATACCACCATAAATTTCAGCAAGTCCCTGAAAAAAAAAATATTTAATAGAAAATTTTAATAGAATTTAATTGGTAAATCTATTTGTCACCACTGGGCAAAATTACATAATTTAACTTTTGTATCACCAGCGGGTGCGACAAGTATACTTTTTTTTTTTTTGAATTTAATAATAATAATAAAAATTAAAACAAGAATTTCGGTATACCATAGCAGGTGCAATTCGTGAAGCCGCGAAAGTTCTCGCATATTCATGTCCTGAATCGACAACGGAATTCATCATGTTTGATGCATTCTAAAAAAATAAAAAATAAAGATATAGATATATAAAAATATTTAAAATATTTTCAAATAATAATTTTTTAATAAATAAATATTAAATAATAATTAATAATTTACCCCATATAAAATGGTTTTCAATTTTTCAACATTATCAAAATTAGTTTCTAATAAAAGTTGTTTAATTATGTCATACATATTATCTATATTTCTGTCAAGACAATGTCCTGCGATCTCAAATCCATTTTCATATTTAAATAAATCTTAAAATAAAAAGAAGAAGAATGATAAAGAGAAGAATGAAGAGTGAAGAGTGAGAAAGAGAAGAGAGTATGTGCGTGTAAATACCAGAATGATCAGTGCTCACAGTAGGAGAACAACTAATGCCACCGGTATAAAGACGTATTTCGTCGTCTAATTCTGCTATTGTTTTAGTCTTTGTGCCTAAAGAAGTTAATACCTTGAATAAAAATAAATAAAAAAAAGAAATAATGGTAATAATATTATTATTAAAAAAATAAAAAAAAATAAAAAAAATAAAAAATAAAATACAATTTACACACTTGAGTAAATAAAGGAAAATATAATCTCAATTCTTCAGGTAATTCCTCTTCAATTTTACAAATAGCTTTAAAATAGGTGATTCCATTTGTAGCTGTTTTCCTCCATTGTACTTTACATCCTTCAACATCATTAAAATCCAAATTAAACCTTCTCATTTGTAATGGTATATCTCCTACTTTCAAAGTAGGTAATACCGAAAGATTTTCCGTTTCTTCTTGTTTCTTTAATAATTCTAATGATTGTTCATTAATTTTTTCTTTATCTGACAGTGATAAGGAATTTATTTTTGATTCTAAACGTTTTTCTTCCTCTTGATTAAGTTCTTGAGTAAAATTTGAATCTGGTTCCATTATACAAGTGAGAATATGTGGATTATTGAAGAAATATTTTTCAACGAGAGATTGAAAGAATGGACCAGATTTAAGTTTTTCTTTTATGATTTCTACATTCTAATAATAATAATGATAATAATAGTTGATATTTAATAATAATAATAACAACAACAACAACAACAATGATAATAATTTACTAATATAATATAATAATAATTATAACCTAACCTTATTAATTTCCAAAAGATCTGCTGGATTAATATTACTAAACCAACTAGAACTTAACCCATTCATCAGATTCAACCCAAAGTCAGCTGTTTTCTAAATTAATTATAAATATATATATTAATTATATTAATTATATCAATTATATCAATTATACTACAATAAATGAATAAAGAATAATAAAATAAATAATCACATGTTTTTTGCTTAATTCAGTTTGGTGTAAAGCAGCTTCAATGCGCTTAGAATCAAATCCATTTTTATGTATATCCTCAAGAACTTTTCTAATGGTTTTTTCCGCCTATAAAAATAAAATTATCATAAATTAAATCAAAAAATATCATATCAAAATTAATAAAAATATCAAGATAAATGAAGAAAGTGTTGCTTTTTTTTTTTACCAACTCTATATCTTGAGATTTCATTCCTTGTAATCCAATAGATAATGAACTAATTCTAAAAAAAAAAAATTTATTAATAAAAATAAATATATAATAAAAAATTTATTATAATTATAAATTAAAATTAAGAATTAAAAAATGAAACCTTGTAGAATCATCATATCCTGTATTTTCTGAAAAATCAGAACCAATATTTGTATCTATCAATGCTTTATACATTGGAGATGAATGTCCATCAAGTAATAAATAGGAAAATAATTTTAATGCAAATGTTTCAAATACATCCTAGATATATAATAAAATATTATTATTATTATTATTATATTATTAAAAATTTTTTAAATTGAATAACTTACTGTAATATCATTTGTCAAATATGATATTGAAAATTTGGTTTGTTTTTCTGGACTATTCACTAAATGAAATAATGATGAAAAATGAAATGATGAAAAAATGAAATAATGATAAAATGAAATGATGATAAAATGAAATGATGATAAAATGAATGATAATAAAACAACAAACAAAAAAAATTTGAACTTACTTGGATCAAGTGGTCCATTAAATTTCACTCTTTGTGGAAACTCAAATGGTTTGGCAACTTTAATACCCTCATCTGGTGCTATTTTTCCGAATCCCTTGATTTTTTCATTAATTGCTATTAAATGATCTTCCAAGGGAAAATTTCCTATTGTTATTAATATTAAATATTATTATTATTATTATTATTATTAGTTTCATATCTATATAATTATATAACATAAATTATAATACTATTATATTATATTAACTTACCATATGTATAAATTTTAGCATTACTAGGATGATAATGTGATTTATGAAAATTCAAGAGTTCTTCATATGTCAAATCGGTAATATATTTAGGTTCTCCGCCACTATTATATCCATATATAGTATTTGGAAACATTTCTTGTTGTACCTTTGAATAAAATAAATATCCCGCATCTGACTAAAAAAAATAAATAAAATAATTAATTAATTAATAATTAATATAAAATAATTATCTATTTGTATTATTTTTATTAATCTATTACCATTTGTCCTTTCATTTCATTATAGACAACACCTTTAAATTGTAGATTTGTGGATCCATCTAAATAATTAAAATATAAAAATGATTATAATAATTATAATAATTATAATAAATTAATAAACTATTTTAAAAAAAAAAAATACCTAGAGGATTTTCATGTTCCAATCTCCATCCTTCTTGTTTAAAATCTAATTCTTTCAAATTAGGATGTAATGTTGCATCCATATAAACATCTCTTAAATTTTCATAATCAAGTTTATGTGTAGTAGAAAATGGATACATTGTATAATCATTTGCTAGTATTATTATATTATTATATTATTTATTGTTGTTATTAAATGATTATTATTATTAATCACATCTCATTTCCATACTAAAAAAAAAAAAAAAAATTTTATACCAAAAAACCGATAGAATTTAATTTAATTTATAATACAACTTACCAGTAAATGCATTCATAAAATTTGCTAAACTACGATTTAACATTTTAAAGAATGGATCTCTAACCGGAAATCTTTCACTACCACATAATGTGGTATGTTCCAAAATATGACAAGTCCCACAATTATTGGTAGGTGGAGTTGAAAATCCTACACCAAAAACATTATTATTATCTTCTCGTGCTATATGTAAATGTTTTGCTCCAGTAGCTTCGTGAATGAGTTGTATTGCCGTAAGTTCAAGTTCTGGTATATGTCTCGTCTAATACTCAAATAATAATTAATTTAATAAATCATTTCACTGTATAATTAGTTCATTATATATTAATGAAAAAGAAATTTATTTTCTTTAATTGGTTTTATTTAACTTTATTTTCTTTAATTAACTTTATGTAACTTTATTTACCTCTTGTACTTTAAAACCATGTATCCTATTATTTGTTTGAAATACTATTAAATAAAATCAATTAAGATAATCTCAATTAAAACGATAAATACTAATAATTCATTCAAATTAAATGAAATAAATTAAAAATTATACCATCACTGTTAATTAAAGAAGAATATCGTCTCGAATAATTTTTAAAAAATAAACGTCGTAAAACATTGTTACGAACGTCTGGTAATATATTTCGTTTGATTAAATGTGAATTCATTTTTTTTTATTAATATAATAATATAATTGAAATTGTATTAAAGATATATAATTTTTTGATTTATTTTAAAAAATTTCTTTCGTTATTAATTTTTTTTTAGATTATCACGAAAATTATGTAACCAAACAAACGATCCGATCCACTATTAGAATGCGGTTAATGTATATTTTATATAGATAAATAATATTTTTATAAAGGCACTTTTTTCTTGGAAAAAAATTTTTGAATTGTTTTAATAATAAAAATGATACAAAATCTCATTTAAATTTTCTCTTTAATGAACTTTTTTTTAGCTTGCCAATAATTTTTTTTTATATTAATTATTATCATAATAGCATGTACGGTTGTTCTATGAACCCAACAAAAAAAAAAGAGTAATATCACTTCGGCAACTTCTTTGATGATTGACCTTTTTTTTTTGATTTCATAGTAATAAATAGGTTTAGCTCAGTAAATTATATTTACAAAAAAGTTTAATAATATATTTACTTACCCAATATGTTTGTTGTATTTTTATTCAGTGGTAAAAGAAAACAGACTTTTACCAACAACAAAGGTTGGACACCTGATTTAAGAACCCCTAATCCAGTAATTCACCTAAGTCAAACTAACCCAGAACTTGGAACATTTACGGTGGCCAATCCGCAGCATCGATGTGTCCTCATCATAACCCTTGTAAAAAAAAAAAAAAAACAACCCCCTTTGTTAATTCCTTTTAAAAACGGGTGCCCAAGTGTATAGAAAAAGACATATCTAAGATTGATAATTGAGAGAAAGAGAATAATAAGCAAGCAATAGGGAAAGAATGTAATATATGTAAATAAAAATACTGGGCCTCGCGTAACATTGTGACATTTTGACACGAAAAATGGAACACGCGTATGATTACTGCAGTTACGCAAACGGAGTAACTGAACTACAAATCAAACTTCAAACAAAATGGAAAATGGGAGCAATCTAAAACTCAATTTTACCCACTTATTTTTAAAAAGCGAGGGTTTTGTACTTGTACTTATCATGAATTCAATAAAGATGATATATTTATAACCACTTAAAACAATTTTATTTATTTTGGTAAATCAATACAATAAAAACTCTATATTTTTTGTTTGGTTATCTAATTTTTTATTATTTTATTTTTATTTTTTATTTTCATTTTTTATTATTTTTATATTTTTATTGTTTTATTTAGAAAGAACGATAACCAAATAAATCCGTCATAACACCTATCTGCCGCCTCAACATAAACGACAACCAAATAAACCCATCATAACATCTTTTTACCTTCCCAACATAAATGATAACCAAATAAATCTGTCATAATATCTTTCTGCCGTCCCAACATAAACAATAATCAAATATACCTTTCAAAACATCTTTCTACCATCCCAACGTATGACCACCAAAATAACCGCATAGCCAACAAAACCACTCATACCTATTCTTCCAGTTCATCGCCATCGTCATCGCCGTCGTCGTCGTCGTCGTCATCGTCATCGTGTCCAAAATCCAGGTTCCAGAGAATTCTAAAAATTTTAAAAAGATTTAATATTACAAATAATAATAAGACTTGGAATATAAAAAAAAACTCACCATTATGATTTGCAGGAATAACCATACACTATAATGGATTCTCTGGACTTCCTCCCCATAAAATACTAGCCTTTTAGAAAAATAATAAAATTTATTTAAATCGTTTAAATAATCAATTAATTAATTAATAAAACTTACCAGTATAATTTGGAGAAGGTGAACTCCCCGTGACCGTGGTGAGTGATACGGCATTACCGCGCCCTAAAAAAAAGATAATAAATAAAATAATATTAATAATAAAAATAATAATAAAATAATAAAAATAATAAATAATAATAAAAAATAATAAAACTTACCAAAGATGGGGGGTTATTGCCTACCATGCAACAATCCCACTCACTTCCGCCTAGTTGAGTCCTCGATACCCTTTTTAAAACTTACTACTTTTTTCATAATTATTTTCCGCTTTTTGAAGGAGAAAATAATTATGAAAAAAAGTAGTGATTACCAACCCTTCCCTTCCCTTCACTCCCTATTTTTAAGAATATTATTATTATTGTTTCTTCTTTTTTTTTTAATAAATAATAAATATAATAAATAGTAATAATAATAAATGATTACCTTTTTGGGAGTTATTACTTTGTACAATGGGTGTCATTTCGTTTTCGGATCCTCTTACCTTTTATTTAGATCTAAAAAAGAAGGTTAGTATGTATATAAAAGAATAATAAATATAAAATAATAGTCACTTTTGGAGAGATCCTTTCGTCGCATTCGCTTTACATTTCGTTCCGGGATTCTCTCCCCTTTTAAATCAAGAAAAGAAATTTTTAGTATTTTTAATTAAAAGACATTAAATAATAATAGTAATAATAAATATTTACTTTTGGAGAGAATACTTATTATTATTATTTGTTCTTTAAAGAGAGGACTCTAGTTTTTTTAAAAAAAAAAAGGAAAATGAGGAAAATGAGTGAGAATAGAGATAACTGATCCCTTTTATACTTTTCATGCTTTTATTTATTTATGTTGATCAAAATGAATGAATGATTGTTATATTTATATCTGGCCTGTTTATTTTTTTTTTATTTTTAATCCCCGCTTTATTTTTTCCTGATAATCTTGTGTGACATGTAGTGTCACAAATTAAAAATCTTTGAAATTAAAGTTAGTCAGTCGGTGATCAAGCTTATGATTTTTTAATAGAAAAGTTGGAATAAATTACGAAAAACAAATAGAAAATTCAATTTTCAACACAAGAGAAACGTATACAGTGTTTGAAATTTAATGTGCAGAATGTGCGCTAGCACAAAATTTGAAAACTCCGCACATAAAAAAAGGCATCCGCACAAATTTTTGCATATAGAATTCTAAATTGCGCACAGGATTTAAAATTTGAATTTCAAACACTGAACATTAAATCAATCATGATTTTTACTAAATAATCTTCTTAATTATTCTGTTTTTTTAATTGGTCATCTCAACGAAAAATTACTATTATTGTTATTATTCATAATATAAATGGTGGGAAAATACTAAACTTTTTTAAACAAACTATGGCAATTGAAGCTATACAGTATATGCATCTCGTTATTCTTAGTCACTTTTACAATTAAATATTATATATCTAGATCAAAAACTGTTATTTATATTGACAATCACATTATCGGATCAGGCTGTTTGTTTTTAAACTACACGATTATCAAATTCTTCGGAATAATGTGAAGCACCGAGAACGTCCTTGGTCTAAATGAGTTAGAAGATCAATAATAAGTTGTCCACTCTTTCTATTATAAAAAAATTTCAAAACTTGCGTAAATTGAGTTTTATCACCAAGAGTATTATTTAGTGAATTTAGTGAATTATTACCATCACGTGTCAACAATTGTCAAGCCCAAATAAATAGAATATTGTACTTGAATGAGTCTTGGAAATTTACCATTAGTTGGATTTTTTCACCAAGAGTTTTCCAACCAAATCAAGTATTGATTGAACCGTTTATACAGTACTATGAAGGTAGCGACAACGGAACCAAAACGATTTTATAAAGATTGTGAAAACAAAGGCAATGATATCCAAGAAGAAAATTATTTTTGATATCATTTTGAATAATTTCAGATTTACTTTTTTTTCAGTTAGAAGTAAAGTTTATTTTTGCTTTTCAAGATTTATTATTTTCCACTTAATAAAAAAAAATTAATAAAATATGAAAATTTTTAACCCTTTTTAGGTATAATTGAATCATTGTTAAAGTTTCTTCCCAATTAAGAGAGACTTGCAAATGTTTAACCTTTCACGAAGAGAACAAATTTTATTTTATAAACCAAAGGCAATAACAGTCAAGAGGACAATTTCTATATTTATTAAATTTTTTCTAATTAAATAAAATCAATAGGAAATAGTGCAACTAATTATTATACACTATCCAACGCAAAAGGACAATTTCTATATTTATTAAATTTTTTCTAATTAAATAAAATCAACAGAAAATAGTGTTACTAATTATTATACGCTATCCAACGCAAAAAAAAAATATAATCCCTACTTAATATTTCAAATAATATTCTATTAAAATATATTTTTCTACACTATATAATTATATAAATTGAATTAAATTTCTTCTCCCAAAATCTGCGCCACTTCACTAGAACCATCAGGATATACAATCCGGAAGGATTTGCCTTCAACATCGCCAGCGCTCCATTTTGAATTTGTATTAATATAACGTGAAGTATCAGTTTCAGGGACCCAAGCAAGTCCTCTTTGAATTTCCTCAGAGAGATCATCAAAAAATCTTTCATTCTCGTCTTCTATAATGAACCTACATTGATAAACATTTCCAGGGTTGATGTTGTCGTTGTTGAAAATTGCCGTAAATACAGTATCAACAGCGGTTTTCCAAGTTAATTCAGAATCATATGTTCGAGCGACAGCGGTACCAACATCAGCTGTTAGAACCGATTTTATAAAGATTGTACAAACGAAGGCAATAATAGCCAAGAGAAAAATTTTTCTTGATGACATTGTTTTGTTTAATTTCAATAATTTTTGTTTTTTTTTTTCGGTTAGAGGAATTGAGAAGTGAAGTTATTTCAGTTATTTCTTGCTTCTTTTATATTTGTCAAGGTTATTATTTTCGCTTAAAAATATTATTGAAATTTTCCAATTTGGGAAAATATGCACAAATAATTATAATTTGATCAGAATTTATAAAAATGGAATTTCTCAATTAAAATGTTGAGCAATTGAATCTCCCTACAAAACGTGCATTCGTGCATAAGCTTTTTCTGTACTTGTGTAAACTAAATAAATGCATGAGTATTAATAAGGCAAAGAGAAGGCAAAGAAAAAATAATAAATAAATGCTTAAGCATTAATAAGGCAAAGAAAAAAAATAATAAATAAATGCTCAAGTATTAATAAGGCAATAATAAATAAATGCTTAAGTATTAATAAGGCAAAGAGAATAAATGCTTATTTCTAAATTCTCAATTATATATTTAATTAAAAATTTAAAATGTAATTTTTCAATTAAAACGTTGTGCATATTATCGTTCTTTCTTTGAAAATTTGATCCTGTAAAATGTGCATTAGATATAATATGTAGCTGTATAAATTGCAAAGAAAATATAATAAATAAATGCTTAAGACAAAGAAAAAATAATAAATAAATGCTTAAGCATTAATAAAACAAAGCTTGAGTATTAATAAGACAAAGAAAAAATAATAAATAAATGATTAAATATTAACAAGGTAAAGAGAATAAATGCTTATTTCTAAATTCTCAAATTATGAATTTAATTAAAAAATTTAAAATGTAATTTTTCAATTAAAACGTTGTGCGTATTATCGTTCTTGCTTTGAAAATTCGATCCTGTAAAATGTGCATTAGATATCATATGTAGCTGTATAAATTGCAAAGAAAATACAATAAATAAAGAGTGATGATAATTTTCATAGTTTTTTTCATAAATAAATGCTTAAGCATTAATAAGACAAAGAAAAAATAATAAATAAATGCTTAAGCATTAATAAGACAAAGAAAAAATAATAAATAAATGCTTAAGCATTAATAAGACAAAGAAAAAATAATAAATAAGTGCTTAAGTATTAGTAAGGCAAGAAGAATATAATAAATTCATTCTACCACGAAACAATACTTATGATTATGCAATTTATAATTTAATTTTTTATTAGACAATAAATAAATGAGCGAAATTTTTTGTATAACGTATGTATAATCGCGTCGTCACAAAGTAACGTCACTCATCTATTAATTTTTTTTTGACTGTATGAACGTAACATAATGATTTGGAGTGGCCCCTGACCTTAAAACCGTAGAAAACATCTGGAAATTGTTAAAGGACAATATTCAGAAACAAAAAAATAATAATTCCAAAAACTGTAGATGGGCTCAAGACTGCTTTGAGTGAAGAGTGATCAAAATTTAATATATAATTTCTTAAAGTATTAGTTAATTATAAAAAAACTTTATGTATAAAATGTAAAAATAGAAATTTTTATTTTAATAAAAAATCGGGCATTAATTTGCGACGCGATTGTACATTACAAACCATTATTATTGAAATGTTCAACCCTTAGTCATGACAAAAGGTATTGGACTTCAACATCTTTGGTTGATGAAATTACCCAACTTTTCATATAACTCAATAACTATATCGATGTTTGTCTTTGGTCTATCATTTAAAGTACCGGATTTTGTCCATAAATGAGAGCTTTATGTCTAAGACATTTCAATAAAGATTCTTCAACTTTTTGATTAGTTAATAATTTCTCAATAGCTTCTGAATTATGAGAATTTATATACTCAATATATTTTGGTTGAAGGTTTGGATCTCGAAATTTTGCTTTCGCGACAAATTTCCTTTTGAATTAAAAAAAGTTAAATCTTTAATTAAATATTTATTAGCTAATATTATCCCATCCATTTGTGATAAATATTCAACCAAATGTGAGTAATATGAAAATAATTACTAAGTCAAGAATTTCTGCTCAAATTTTTGATGTTATAATAAAATTCTATTATTTATATTAGAACTTTTTAATTTGTTTGTTTATAATATTATCATCTTATTAATTTATTATTTTTTTTTATGTGGATATATTTACTGTGAGATTATTAATTTAAAAAATGTTGAAACTATATTTAAATGTTAGCTGCTAATGAACTTGCCGAATTATTAGAAGCTATTCTTATTGAAGATAAAGCTTCTTGGTTAAAAATTTATTTTATTTGTCTATCTGTTATTTTTTGTCAAAGATAATTTTTGTAATGATATTGTAGTTAAGTATCCTAATCTTATTTTGACATTTCAGTTTCATTTCCATTTCCATTCCAGAATCTTCACTAGTATTTCTTCTCAAACGAGACGATTTGCAAATGAAAGAAGTATTTGGGATTACGTACGTTATCAAGTGGGGGAATTGCTCATAATCTTATTTTCCCCATAAACCCAGAAGATTGGACAAAGGAAACATTTTTCACAACAATTCCTACCACATATTCGTTACTTTCATATTACAAATATTGAAATTTATGATAAAATCAGGCCTTATAAAAAATTCTTGTTAAATAATTTTGGGAAGAAATCAAGCAACATCTAGTAGCTCCCGACAGACCAATAAAATCAATTATTTTACTAGCAAGATCAGTCTTGATTACAGAATTACCGAACCAAAAGAACCTTTTTCAACTACCATTTCTGTCATGCTACAGAAATTTCTAGTTGGAAACAACTAAATCAACAACAAATATTCCGTATAAATTTGAATTAGTTTTGCGTGAAATTAAAGATGGGTTTGCTCCACAAATGTTTTTGGAATATCTGCCATGGTCACGATCATACAGTTGTTGTGATAAAAGTTAATGGAACTTTCGGAGGTTATAATCCTTTAGCATGGATCATACTCATAATTATTCATTAAAAATGATAATCTTTGGAATTCAATTCTTAGCAAAGTAAAAAGAACTAAAATTTGCAATTCTTAATGTATGCAAAAACGATCGAAATAAGAATGGTACATATTTTGAATATAACTTTTTTTATATAGTAATACATCTATATCTAATTTTAATTTAGATAATGATAGTTGTTGCCGCGAAGATGTTGTTGATTACGAAAAACCTTTAGGAACATCACCAGGTGGCTTTTCTTATTGATTATGAAGTTATTTAAGTTATTAATAAAAAATAATATTTTTATTTTATTATTTTTATTTTTATATTACCATAACTTTATATTTTATTTGCTTATTTAATGTTTTCTTTTATAAATATAAACGAATATTGCGTATTTTAATTTTTAATATTTAGAATCCGAATCATTAAATGAAATAGTTGAAATAGTTCCAAATCACAAAAATTGAATTTATTTTAGAGATTTATTTTTTCATTATATTTTTGTAATCTCAAGTTTATTTAATGTTATTTGTAAAATTTATATACACAATAAATAAATATGTAATAATATTTATTATTTCCATTGACTTTGAGTAGTTTAACTAAAAAACGTATTGTTTCAATAAAGGAAATTTGATTTTTTGAATTATATATTTCCAATTTGATCAATTCTTCAATCAATAAATGAACGAATTGAACATGGAGAGAAAACAGAAAAAAAAATATTGAGAAATAATATAATAATTATTGAAATGCCTATATGCATGGATTGTCATTTGTTTGCAAAGTTGATTCATTGTCAAAATATTCATACCTTACCAAAATAAATTAATTTCTGATTCTGATAGAATTCAATCCATAAATATCACCCAAACTATTTGGACTCACTTTAAAGAAATTTTCAACAGGATAAAGGTCAGAATAAACTCCTAGTGAAGTAGAAGAAATACTATGAGAAATAAAGCAGGTAAATTATTATATCAAATAATTTACCTATGTGGAAGTATAAGCTGGCACTATCATCGTCAACGCTTATCTTTTCAAGTGGTTCGAAGAAAGAGATAAGTGAGCATTTCATTTTTTACGTACTTGCAAAGTGCGCGAGATTACATTACCTGTGTTTTTAAATTGTAATAAGTAAATCATCATACCGCTACATGCTCCAATGATATAAAAAATGTTACAAAAATATATGACAGTGCGCTCAGCCGGATACTGAAGATATAACTGAAGTGCCATTGTGCGGTGATAGAACAGCGGACCATTCGAAGAAGTGTGCCTACTGACCAAAACCATATTTGTCAACGAAGCACTAGAGTGCAAACGTCGCCGCGCAACCATTCACTGACTGATCACCCTTGATACACCAGTCGTTTTCAGACTGAAACACTGATAGCCTGTGAACGCGTTTCTAGGAATCCAAGAAAATCTTTATTGTATAAATATAAATTGGTATAATTTTTGTGTAATATTTGCGCATGATTGCAGCTTTTATTTATATATTTCTGGAATAAAATACCTTGTAAAAAAAAAGTATAAAATACCGTCTTAATTATTATCGATAATCATATAACTGAATTTAAGTAAAGAATCACTTAAATTTAAAAAAATGATAATTTGTGTAGTTTTCTTATAAAAATTTTTAGCGGAATAAATCGGAATAATTGATTATACCGTGATAAAAATTTGTGTCCCTGATTTAATTATTGTTTCTATTGTTTCTCGTTAATTATTTTGATCAATTGTTTCTCTTCTCGTTAATTATTCTGATCAACAGTTTCTCTTCTAACCAACCGTCTCCCAACTCCTTACGTTCCGCCCTAATGAACTCGTAAAGAGTAAACTTCTCATGAATTCAAAAAGAAAGAACCCCATTCATTAATTATTTTGATCAACTGTTTCTCGTGTACAATAATGCTGACAACGCTAACCTGGGTACGCAATAACCTCAATAACCTCAAGCCAGAAAAATTTTACGAGAAATTTAACTATTCGTACACTTCACGGAAACATGCCAAAGAGAAATTACGAGAATATCTTACGGCAATCAAAAAAGAGAATAATATTAACAAGCGCAAGAAAACAAAGGACTTATTAGATGACTTTGAGGTATATGGATATTCCACTACTATTTATTAACGAATATAATGACTTGTTTAATTTTTCTTATATTTTTTTTGACAGCCTTGGATAAAATTTCCAGTTGCGAGTCATACTGGTTACAAGTAGAAGCCTCACTCAGCAAGGTATGTTAAGACTTTTGTTATTTTTAAGAAGTAATCATAAGTCTTTAGCTTATTGCTTGGTTATTTGACTTTGACAATCAACACACGAAGTGGTAGGACAAAAAGCGGCATATACTACCATCCAAAATTTTACACAAAGGTCAATGACGAGGAAGAAGATATGGATGAATTTCAACCACCGCTAACAAGAGCTAGAAAGAGAGCCAGGAAGGAACTCAAAACCAGAGAATCAGGTAATTGTATTCTATTTATGTCTTGTTTTAAATCTTCCAATTCCAATATTATTTTTGAAATTTCAAAGGTCCAAGATGAAGATGAGTCTATATCCAAATAAAATGTCCGCGATGTGCTTAAGGATGATGAGATACAATCAACTCACATAACCAACAGATGAAAAATTTCCTCAAGAAAACGAAGAGGAAGTGACAACAGAAGAGGGATTAGATATAAATTCTCTTGAAAATTTACCTCAAGTAGATGACGAGAAAGAAACCATTTCGGATAACATTGTAAGTATTATGTAATAATACATTTTAAACAACGGATTTTTTAACTTTTGATTTTTTTTACCAGATAACAGGTGTTCTGGGAAACATTATTAAATCCTCAGATTCAACGACAGAATTATTGGTTCCCACAAATGTTCATGAATTTCTTGTAATTTTTTTTCACGGGACTTATCAGCCAAGGAGTGGAATTATCAAATAGATGATTTAAGAGCACCAGATAAAAGTGATTTTATAATGAATGCAGTAGTTCGGGTCTTACGTCGCACATTGCCAACATTGTATGTAATATTGTGTTATTGGTTTGTTTTTGTTTTTTCAATCTCTGTTCTAAGTATTTCTTTTCTTATAGCATTAAAGCCTTTTCACTTGAAGAGCAAAACCCGCTTTTCAATGTTAATACCATAGAACATGCTCACCTTAATGCTTTCGTCCATCCATGTTTTGATGCTTTTTTGTGGTACATTGCTGACATACATTATGAATAGGCGAGATAACGTCAAAAAGTCATATTAATGGTAACCGTGCGGACGGAGCTGGGTATATGACGGATGCTGATAAATATCAGCTCGTATATATGGAAGGCTCCAGACAAGTGGTGAAGGATAAAAAGGAAATTGATGATGTCAAGAAAATAACAAAAAATTTAAAGTATATGTTAACGAAAATTGTTGAAGAAACAATCAAAAGTAGGCAACGATTACCAAAGAAGTTGTATGACAGAGTTTTCGCCTTAGAATATACTTATATTTTCTTGATTATTGTGGTATGTGTTTTTTGTTCTATTGAAAAATTTACATTGTAAGAGGATACTAATGATCTGCTACTAAATATTAATTCAGGATCGTATAGACTAAATGAGATTGATAATGCCAATCTTCCTCTAAAATTTTCTGAAATGAAATCTTTCATTTTATTTCTATGAATCTGTATTGAAATGGGAGGTATGTGCTAAGTTTTATTATGAAATTTACGAAATTAAACTTCTATCTAATACTTATTTATAAAATTTAGTTACTGGTACGTGATGTTACAGCATCTTTTGATAATGCAAGAGCTGAGCAAAGACCATCACGACTTTCATTTGCGGATGCTCTCCTTCGACTGGGTGACTGATCTTTTGGGGTGTAAAATGGATGTAATAGCTAGTATCTTGAAAATTTGGATAATATGATAATATAATAAAATCACGTGTGCGTTACAATTTGTAATGCGATCACTTCTTGTCAAGAATCATCAGTTTCACCACCAGACACATTCGAAACATCCGAAGTTAAACGGGTTAAAGATGATGTGTTTTCTATATTTGACAATTTATATTAAAATTTATAGGATTTACATTGGTAACACTAGTGGAATTGATGTTCATTACACATACACATAAGATGCTTTGTGAATCATATGATATGATTTTCATTAGTTCACATTATCATAAACTAACAAATTTGGAAAAACAATAATGCAAAAAGTGATACAAATAAATTATCAATTAATTTTTTTAGATAATCATTCTATGAAATGAAATTATGAATTTTATTTATTTAAATATTCGTATTATTTCGTTTTCTTTTTTTTAACAAAACGATGAAAATGTCCTTGTTAAAAACTCAAATTTTCTCGCGTCGTTTATTTTCAACTGCGGTGGCTAATTCGGTATTTATTTATTAAATTAAATTAATTAAATAATCAATTGTCAAGAATATATTTTAAAATATTTTTAACTAATACAATAATGATTTGTAAGAAACCAAAAGTACTTGACGGTTTCATTGGTGCAATTGGAAATACCCCCTTGGTAAATATAACTATTCTTTATAAAACGAAATTTGTCAATTAATAAATAAAATGTTCTCAATTAATTAATTAATAAATTGGTTAAATTAATTAATATAGATACGTCTAAAAAATATAAGTAAAGAAACGGGTTCGGAAGTTCTTGGAAAAGCCGAATTTATGAATCCCGGAGGTTCCGTAAAAGATCGAGCTGCATTGTATGTGGTCAAAGAAGCAGAAGAGAAAGGTGAAATTGTAATTACAACAAAGGAGAAATTTGCATATACTTCTCTCTCGTATTTATTTTTTATCATTTTCCTCTCTTAAAAATTTATTAAAAATTTATTAATTCTTCCCTTATAAATTATTAATTATTACAAATTATCATTACCTAAAAATAATATGTATAATATAAAATAAAGGCTTAATTACTACTGGCGGAACTATTGTAGAGGGTACAGCAGGTATTAATTAAATAAATTAGTAAATAAATTAGTATAATTTAAATTTATGAAATAAATTATTAAATGATTATAAATTTTTTAGGTAATACCGGAATTGGTCTCGCTCACGTTTGCCGGGCTAAAGGATATGATTGTGTAATTTATATGCCAGATACACAGAGTCAAGAAAAAATTGATTTACTAAGGATGTTAGGTAAATAATATTTTATTTTTATTATTATATTTTTATTGTTATTATTATTCTAATTATTATTGAAAATGTATAAAATATATAAAATATTTAATATCTTAAATATTTCAAATATTTTTAGGAGCCGAAGTTTATCCAGTTCCCGCTGTTCCATTTGACGATCCAAATAATTATAATCATCAAGCTCGTCGTCATGCTGAGAAAATTCCTAATGCTGTATGGACAAATCAATTTGATAATGTTGCAAATAGACGTGCCCATTATGAAACCACTGGACCAGAAATTTGGGAACAAACTAATGGTCAAATAGATGGTTTCACGTGTTCCACTGGTACAGGTGGAACTTTTGCAGGTGTAACTAGATATTTAAAAGAAAAAAATCCCAACATTAAATCATTCATTGCTGATCCACCAGGTTCTGTATTATATAGTTATTTTAAAAGTGGTGGTAATTTAATAGAACGTAAAGGATCTTCAATTACGGAAGGAATTGGACAAGGTCGTGTTACTGAAAATTTAAAGGAAGAAGTAAATTCAGTAGATGATGCTTTATATATTTCAGATGAAAAAACTATTGAAATGTTATATAGATTATTGGATGAAGAAGGTTTTTATATGGGAGCATCATCTGCATTAAATGTTGTTGCAGCCTATGAAATGGCAAAGATATTAGGTCCAGGTAAAGTTTATTCAGAATTTATAAGGGTTTAGAATGGAGTTATTTTTATTGATTGTTATTTGAGAAAGAAAGAAGGAGTAAAGAGAAATTTTGTACATTGATAAATTAAATTAATAGGAAAGACTATTGTCACAGCTATTTGTGATGGTGCTTATAGATATCAAACACGGTTATTTAGTAAGAATTATTATTTTATTTATTTTTAATTTATTGTTAATTATTCTCTAAAAGGTAATATTAAAAATATTAATTAATTTTATTTTATTTTTTTGTTGATATTAAGGTCGAAAATGGTTAGAAAGTAAGAATCTTGTTAATGCAATCCCAAAACATTTACAAAAATATATTATTTTGCCATAACAATAAGTTATTATAAATATGTTAATATTAAAGTTATTTAAGGTTAATATTTAAGTAATTTTTTTAAGATTAATATTTAAGTTATTTTAAGTTTAATAAAATAAATTATTAATAGAGTAACGTACATAACATGTGATTTATTGGTAACATGTGATATAAATGGGGTTGTTTTTTGAATTTTCAACAATAATGATCACTTCAACTTTAGAAAAATATTTTAACACTGTTGATAGCCTTGAAAGCCTTTACGTCGAAAGGCTAAAGGAAGCAGTAGCTATACCAAGGTTATAATAATATTATAAATGGTTGATAAAAATAATTGTCATAATGATTGTTATATACTTGTAGTGTAAGCGGGGATGTTGCGTACCGCGAAAATGTATTCCAAATGGGTCAATGGCTCATTGGATTATTCCAAAAATTGGGTATTAGGTGAAATATAAAGTTTATAATAATAATAATAATAATTTTTTGGTCAATTAAAAGATAAATTAATAATAATAATGATAATAATAATTTTTTTTTTTTTAAAAAAAAAAAAGTTATGAAGCAATTGACCTTGGAACACAAGTTTTAGAAAACAAAACTTTAAAACTTCCACCAGTTCTTTTGGGAACTTATGGCAATGATCCAAAAAAAAAAACTATTTTAGTATATGGACATTATGATGTTCAACCTGTAAGAAAAAAATATTTGATATAAATGTTTCGCATAATGTTGTGGGAATGGAATTATTTAAATTATTTCATTTATAATTATTTTATAATTTATAATTTTTTTTAATTTATTTAATTTATTGAAAATAAGGCATTAATTGAGGATGGTTGGAATTCTCCACCATTTGAATTAGTTGAAACTGATAAACATCAATTAATTGGACGTGGTTCTAGTGATGATAAAGGACCTATTATAGGATGGCTTAATGCAATTGAAGCACATCAAAAAGCTGGAATAGAATTTCCTGTTAATTTGAAGATTTGTTTTGAAGGTAAATTCTTTTTCTCCATATTACATATATATTATATATTATATAATATAATGAAATTTACATGAAATATATATATAGGAATGGAAGAGAGTGGATCAGAAGGACTTGATGAATTGGTTTTCAAAGAAGCTAATAGATATTTTAAAGGTGTCGATGCTGTTTGTATTTCAGACAATTATTGGCTAGGTGTTAAGAAACCATGTTTGACTTATGGTTTACGCGTAAGTTTCTATTTATTTTTTTTTTCAAATTAATTACAAAATCAAATTACACATTTAAAAATATCAAATTTATTTATAGGGAATAACTTATTACAAAGTGGTGGTTTCAGGTCCAGGGAGAGATCTTCACTCTGGGGTTTTTGGTGGAACAGTACATGAACCTATGACAGATTTAATTTCGTTATTAAGTAAATTAGTAACTCCGAGTGGTAAAATTTTGATTCCCGGAATTAATGATGATGTGGCTCCTTTAACAGGTTAATTAATAATTTTAATTAATAATTTAAATTAATAATTTATTTTAATTTACCTTTGACTTTAATTTTAACTTCTTTAATTTTATCTTTAATTTTAATCTTAATTTTATTAGAGGATGAAAATAAAACTTATGAATCAATTGAATTTGATTTGAATGAATATCATGAGGCTATTGGATCTAAAACAACTATTCATGATGATAAAATTAATACCTTACAACATCGGTAAATATCATTATTATTATAAAATTATTATTATATATATTATTATTATTAATTATTAATTATATTATTAAATTATAGATGGCGTTATCCATCATGTTCAATTCATGGTATTGAAGGTGCATTTTCAGCATCAGGAGCCAAAACTGTATTACCTGCTAAAGTTCAAGGAAAATTTTCGATTCGATTAGTTCCAAATATGGATCCTGAACGGGTTAATACCTTAGTTGAAAAATATTTAAATGAAGAATTTTCTAAATTGAAAACTAGAAATTCATTAAAGATTGAAAGTTTACATGGAGCTAAAGCATGGGTTGCTTCCCCAGATCATTGGAATTATGGTGAGTTTAATATGTATTAATATATATATATTTATATATTTATTTATAATTTATTTATATATATATTTATACATTTATTTATAATTTATTTATATATATATATTTATATATTTATTTATAATTTATTTATATATATATATTTATATATTTATATTTATAATTTGTTTATATATATATTTATATTTTTATATTTTTATGTGCATGTGTATGAAATCTAATCTCTAATTATTTTCTTTTAGTTGCGGCTGCTAAAGCAGTTGAAATGGTTTTCAATGTTAAACCAGATTATACACGAGAAGGTGGATCCATTCCCGTTACTTTAACGTTTCAAGACGCGTTAGATAAGAATGTTCTTTTATTGCCAATGGGTCGAGGTGACGATGTATGTATTATAATCATTTAAATAAAATTAAGATAACATTATTAAATCTTTTTTTTCTTTAATAATAATAATAATAATAATGTAGGGAGCTCACTCAACTAATGAGAAACTTGATCGTTCCAATTATATTTCGGGTATCAAATTATTTGGTGCATATTTACATGAAATTGCTGCTACCAAAATTTAAAAAAATCGAAAGAACAAATTATATGTAAAATATTTAAACATAATATTGTATGTACAAATAATATTTATCAATAAAGATATTTTTTCATGCACTTTTTAATTATTTGAGAATACCAGAAGGTAAATACACTGAATATATTTATTAATTAAAAACAGAATGAATGAATGAATAAATAAATAATAATGAATAATTAAATAATAATAATGATAATAATAATAATAATTTAAATATATATTTTTTTTCAAATGCTATATAACTCATTATGTAATTCTTTTCTTGGTCGAATAAAAATCATGTACCATTCATCATCATACGATTCTTTATATCCAGGCGCAGTAATTTTAATTTCTTCTTGTTCTGTTCCATCAGTTTCTTTAATTCTTGTTATTTTTACTTTTGGCAATTTAACTTTTCCAGATGTTAAAGGGAAACAATTCACTTTAAAGTAATAAGTTGAGAATGGTTGAACATAAAAATGGGTTTGTTTATAACCCGAAAACACAAATGATTCATTAACTTCGACTGTAACATTTATTTTGGTTGCTGATGATGATCCATTCATAATTTTATATATAAATGTAAGAAGTTTTCCAACAATAGGATTTGATGGAATAACTATAAAATAAATGTAAAAAATAATAATAATAATAATTATAATATAATTAATATAAATAATAATAAAATGTATAAATAATAATAAATAATTATAATATAATATAATTAATAAATATATAAACCTATTGTAACAGATATATCAGATTTTGGATGCTCAATTTGAGGTACCATCATTGTCGTTTCAGAAAATGGTATAATAATAATATTCTCAGATTGATAATTCCTAATGAAGCAATAATGAAATGATAATAAAAATAATAATTTAATTAATATAATAAATATTTGTAAAAAAAAAAAATATATATATATTTACTTACCTTTTCCATTGAATATCAAGTAATCCAATATCTATATTTTGATCCAGTAATTTATCATCAATAATTACCAACTTTAACAGGCAAATGAAATTATAAATATGTCCTGGTTTCCACACTGTTCAAATATAAATATAAATATAAATAATATACAGAGTTAAATAGATTTAAAAAAATAGATTTAAAAAAAATATATATTAAGAGACAGAAACCTTGTTCAAGAGATTCATTAATTGTTTCAGTGGAAGATGCAATAATATCCATTTTAGTTTGAGCATTGGCTTGATCAAACTGTGTATAAATTAATAAATATATAAAATATATAAATTAATATATTTTATTTAAATTTAAAAATAACAATAATTAAATAATTTTTAAAAAAATAATAAAAAAAAAATAATCAAAAAAGAATAATAATAATGATAATACATACCAAAACTAAATCAATTGCAGATACATTAATATCCCATGGACAAGTATTTGATATCCTTGCTTTCAAAAGATATTTTTCTATCTTTCGATGATGTGATTTTTGTAATTTTTTAGTTTGCACAAATCTTTCCCCTTGAGGTGAAATATTAAAATTAATGGAAAAAGGTGTAATAAATGATAATCTAATTTCCATTCTTTTTTCAATCCAACCTTGTGATGGTGGTAAGGATTGAGGTAAGGATGAAACAAATGCATAATAAATCTACGTGATGATAATAAATTATATTTGTTAAATCGTAATAAAAAAAAAAAACACTTTTCTTTTCTTTTTGTAAAAAATCATTTTTACTAACCCCAAAATTAAGATCTCTAATGTTTGTACTTTTCTTTCCTATCACAAAAATTGTTTTCACCAATGAACCATTTGTAGGAATTATTCCAAAATCTATGTTTTTTAAATGATTGGTTCCGTTATGACTGGGGTCTAAAACTATTCTATCTTCAGAATCTTATAATAGTAAGAATAAAAATAATAGTAAAAATAAGAATAGGAATATAATGAATAATGATATAACAATGATATAATAAATATAATAATAATAATAATAATAATTATTATTATTTTTACCATGCATCTCCGGAATAAACTCAGCATGAAACAGGGCTTTAATATCATCAGATTCTAAATTAACCATTGTTAATTCAATAGGAAAATATTCATCAAGAAGTGCTGGAGCCTGATATTTAACCTTTATATCAAGTTTGGCTTGTTTTTGTGTCACACTGAAATATATAAATAAATATATATATATATAATACCAAGAGTAAATAGAAAATAAGTATGAATTTTTATTACAATTAATAATAAATTTAAAAACAGTAATAAATACTTTATCGAAGTAATTTCTCGACGTCCTTTCAAACTTATAAATTTTAGCCTGGAAACTAAAAAAGAAAAGGGTTTACAATTATTATTACAAGGATTAAAAGTCACAAAAGGTACCTACCATGAGGAACTTTTTGATTTATACCTTGTTGATCTTGCTCTTTATTATTTGTTAATGTAAGCCATTTACGTTTTAAATTTTCTTCCCGATGAGAATTAACATCAAAACGAAGCTCTATTTTCCAATTTGCGGTTATAATTCCTAAAGTTACAATTTGTAACTTGAAATGCATATAAGTATAAAATATGTGAATATGAATATGTAAGTATGAGAATATAAGTATACGCATATAAGTATGAGTATGAGTATATGAACATTACCTGCAATTCTCCACTTTCTCGAGGTATAACTGAACCTTCAAAAACTTTTGTGGAATTTTTTGATATTGTTAAATCAACATTTTTTACCCAAACATATCCTTCACCTTCTCTTTCTTCCCTTTGACAATCTTTACAATCTATTAATTGTAATTTGTCATAAGCAGACAATATTTCTTGTTCATTATCAATCAAATAATGATTAAAGTATTCATCATTAAAAGAAAAACGAAGAAATGAAAATCTTAAAGGAATTGGAGGTGTAGTAGGAGGGGATGAAAATGTAACCTGAAAGTCGGTTGATGTACCAACAAAGGTTTCGGGTTCTTTATAATGTACATAACAATTTACTGTTAGATAAATATAGAATAAAACAGAAGAAAGGTCAAGAATAAATTTTAATGAATAATTTGAATAACTGTAATAATAAAAATAAAAAAAATAAAATAAAATAATAATAATAATAATAATAATAATAATAAATAATTATATAATAATAATAAAAAAAAAGATACAAAATGAATTTATGTCGTTCATATCAACAACATGAAGTGAATTAGTTATTTCATTCTGAATTTGTAAAAGAACACCAACATCAGGTCATATTCAATTCGAAATTTTCAGACATCAAAAAAAAAAAAAAAAAAGTTATCAACTTACATTATTCATCATATTTATGAATTCATTTTGAAGATTTACTCGCATTTCTTCGCTCATTTGAAATTCTAAAATATTTGAAGTATTTTAAATTATAAAAAACCATAATTTTCAAAAACTAAAAAAAAAAAAATTATATCATAAAACTCACGGTCACATAAAAGTTCAATATAATAATCCATAATATTCTTATGAATGGATGATTCTTTAGCACATTTTAATGACCAACGTAAAATTGATTCAAGGATAGTATGCCAATTTTCTTTACGATAGGTTTTGGCGATACGTTCAAAAAATCTATAAAGAAAAAAGAAAGTTAAACAAAAACATCAATATGTAAAATAAATATTAATAATATGTATAAATAAATATATAAATAATTATATAATATAAATGAATAAATACGTATAAATTAAATAAATTTACTTTAAAGCCATATCATATTTTCCAGCCATAAAATAAGTTCCAGCTATTTCGGAAGCAAGATAAAGCATCATACGTCCAGTTTTTTGCTTCTTAAATTGTTCATAACTTTTTGTTAAAAGTTCTATTGTCAATGTTGAATGATCTATATTTCTTTCTGCTTCAATAATAGGAGAAGGTGGACAATCGAAATTTTCTTCACTATCATAATTCTTTAAAGTCTTTGATAAATATTTTTATGAATTAGTAAAATTTATTCCTCTAACACATACGTATATATATATTTAATAATAAAATTGATAAAAATCATTACCTTTTCCATTTCCAAAAATTTATCACCTCTGATTGAATTATATTTAGCAGCCAAATGATAATAAAATCCAGGATGTTGAAGAACCAAAGAAGGATTAACTCCAGTATTAGCAAATGAACTACTTGATCGATAATCAGATGAAGTCGAATGAGTTATGGTTAAAGGATCTGGTATGTTATATCCTGATCTTGTGGCAATTTCTAACATTTCACCAAAGACACGATATTGTCTTGATAACCAAGCCCAATATTCAAATGTACTCTCGCCAATTCCCACTGTATTGCATAATTTATTAAAAGTGTTGAAATGTTTATTTAATTGCATCATTGCAGCTGATGGTGAATCGATATATAAATTCATTTTACATATCTATTATTTTTAATTAATCAATTATTTAAATTAATTAATTAAATTAATCAATTAATCAATTATTGAATTAATCAATTATTAAATTAAATCATTTAATCAATTATTGAATTATTTAAAAATATTTAATAATAAATTTAAAAATTCAACAAACTTTTAAATTTATACAATCGGCTAATATTCTTGCTTCAATCCATCTTTTACTACGCGTTTGTAATCCTGGAGTAATGGGTAATTTAGGAGAAAATAATTCCACAAGGAGATTGTAACATGACTCATAATGACTATTTATTAATTATTTTTTAATTATTTATAAATAAATTATTAATTAATTCTTTTACGATTTTAATTAAAAATATATATATATATATATATATATATTTAAAGAATTAAGCAATTACTTTATTGCGGAATCTATCTCTTGACGAAATTCAGCAAAAGTTGCCAATTTATAATCATAACGAGCCAACCAGCCTTGTACCCCAAGTGGAGCATTATCTGAATGATCAATTGGTGGACGAATATAATTCACTCCTGGATTATTAAATCTTGATCGTTTTCTTCTAACACGTTTCCCATGTTCTCGATAATAATTTAATCCATGTTCGTAAAGTGCTTTTTGAAGACTTGAAATATAAAAATATTAAATAAATAAATTTAAATATTAAAATTAATATATTTAAATTTAAATATTTCAATTTAAATATTTTAATTTTAATATTTTAATTTTAATATAAAATTATTCATACTTTGAAGCAAAATCAGACAGATCAGCATGTGGTGACAATGCAAAGAAACAACTTTTTCCTTCAAGACCACTTGCTTTTCGAATATAAGATAATCGATCGTCAGTTATTTGTTCATCTAATTATATTTTTTAAAAAAAATTAAATTTAAATTATTTATTCTTAAATTAAAAAAAAAAATAAAAAAAAAAATAAAAAATAATTTTAAAATATAAATTAAACAAACCTAAATGTTGTGATCTAAGAAGTATGACAACAGCAAACTTAATTCCTCTCTCATATAAAGATTTTCTTTTTTCATTTATTTCCAAACCTAAATTTAAATCCTTTTCTTTTTCAATTGGTTCAGATGTACCTAATGGTTCTTGTAATATTGAAGATGAATCATCTTTTTCATTTAATAAATTATCTGATTCAACATCTAATTTAATGTCTAAAGATTTATGCCATAAATCATAAAATCCAACAAAAACACTTGGTAATATTTCACGATGTTTATGAACCCAAGCTGGTGGAATTAATCCATCAGGGTAAACCGGAGAATTTGGATTAAGAGGAGAAAGAGATGAATGGGGATTGGAAATAGGTGGAATTTGTTGAGGACGAACCATTGGTTTACGAGGTGGAAATTGATATGACTAAAATAATAAAAAGGGAAAAGATTATTTAATTATAAATTATTTTCATAATAATTTTTTTTTAAATACAATAATTAATACCCAATTAATATTATTTTTCCCACGAATCAAAATCAATCAATCAATCTATCAAGTAAATCAAGTATAATTCTTTTAAGAAGTGTCTCTCCCTTGAATTTATCGTATTTATCATTTCAATAATCAGTATAAATTTATACTAAATAGAAATAATAAATATAATTTATGAATAAATGCGAACCTTATCAACTGCCATTACATGAAAAATTGGATTAGCAATTTTTCCCGATTCCCAAATACCATTTTGACTTTTTGCTGTTAATAAACTTAACAATGTTTTTGATAATTGATGTTTCGTCAAAACGGAAGTTGTACTACTAAAAGAGCTTTGTCTTGAATGAACTGACTTTGGACTAACAGGTGAAGTTGGTGAAGTTATAGTAACTTGTTCAGTTAAATCTTTCATAGTACCTAAACCCATAACAAACATCAAAGGAACATGATGGTAAATAAATTCTTGGGGATAACTATCCATGATGATTAAAGGTGATAGAAAGTAGATTTGATTTTTGAATTTTTTAAATTTTTTAAATTTAATGATTTTACATTTATAGATGTATCACATTAAAATATCATTTCCTAGTTAGTAAATTTTTAAAGTGTACCTCTCTAGATTGGGTTAGATTGAGTTAGATTGGGATTAATATGAAATTCAGATCACATGATCACATGAAATTTTTAGAGAATGTGAATGGGCAATGGATAATCCTTTATATATTCAGAAAAAAAAAATAAAGAATTTTAACTAAGTATATTATAAATGTATGCATAGTAACAATTATTACCTTAAATTATAATGTAATGTAAGTTACAACTAGCATATATTGATGTAATGTAAGTTACAACTAATATATATTGAGAAATATTGATAATATTGGGCATTTAATAAACATTTATGCATAATGCTCGTGTAAATGTATACGTGTACATTGTGTGATATTCTATTCTAAAAAAAACAAAATTATAGTTTACATTGTTTTACTATTTGGTAAATGAATTTTTAGATAATTAGCTGATATAAGAATAAAATAAGAAACCAATTACGATCTTATACAATTAAGATACGGTAATCGTGTAGTTAATTAGGAATAGTCATTATATTCTTGTAATAACAAAATTGAGAGAAAGATTAAGATGTAAATAGGAAATTTATAATTAATATAAATATTAAATCGATTAAATATATTTGTTTGAAAAAATAACTAGTATTTACTTTTAATAGAAAACCTATAGAAACACGTGGCAAAAAAAGGAATTCATGTGAGAAAAGATTTCAATAATATAATCATATGGAGATTAAACAAAAACAAAAAAAACATTTACTATACGTTAATGTTAATAATTAGCGTGACAATCAATAATTAAACCAATCGTATCAAGATTTTCCAAAAGCAATCAACTAACCTAAATTTGGGGCAAAAATCTAGCAGGTTTAAAAATAGTTTAAATAAAAAAAAAAAATATCCCTTTTTTTTTTTTTTTATTACAAATCTGTCTGTTTACAAATCTTGTTTTTACAAATCTATTAACTCTTCTAACTCTTTTCAACAATAAAAGTCAAGTTAATAAAGTGCAAAAAAAAAAATAAAATAAATAATAATAATAATAAAATAAAAATAAAAATAAAAAAATATGGCAACTTCTTTTACCAAGAAACCCTCGAAAGTATCAAAAGTATCAAAAGTAGCGACTCTTCCAGCTCCATGTTTACTTTCAATCTTTGAGAACTTTTCTATGTATGAACTAAGATCACAAAGAAGTCTTGTATTAGTTAACCGACATTGGTGCGATATTCTTACACCTGAATTATGGAGGGATCCATTTGGTCATTATAAAAATTTAAACAAACAACATGTGAACCTGATCGATACTTATATAAAATGTTTACCAAAGGAAATTAGAGAAAAGATATTAGTTGGATTATTAAAATTTAACATTCATGATGAAGATTTATTAGAGATCTCTAATAATAATAATAATAATAATAATAATAATAGTGACAATAACAATGACATTAATCTCATCAATAATGACATTAATAATATTAATAATCTCATTAATAATAACATTAACAACAATAATAATAATAATAACAATAATAACAATAATAATAATAATAATAATAATAATGATGATGATGATGATAATAATATAACAATATTTGATTATCATCGATTTCTACATCATCTAAATCTTGAAGAAATGTATTCGAGTATCGTGAAATGGGGCAAAAAATATCTTAAAAAGAAGACAAGTAAAGAATCAACCAGACTTTTTGTATATAAAGTTATTATTCAAAATTTCATTTGTAATTCCACAAACATAAAAGAACTTACTATTGGTGGAGAGAACGATATTCCTTGTTTAAATATTTATAATTTTCCTCAAGCGATTAATTCTTTATCATCGATTCGATCTCTTAAAGTAGAAACAGGTACTTTACATCGAGAATGGCATGACGAACTTTCTAATATTCTTAATTCCGCATCAAATGTTTCTACTAATATTGAAAATTTAAAAATCATTATGAATTCCGAAAAGAATGTAGAATTTCTGGCTCAAATTATAAAATCACAAAAGGAATTAAAAAAGATTACAATTGAATGTTTTGAAATGAATTTTCAATATATTTGGGATAGTGTTATTGATTATCAACAAAATAATTTAGTGAAATTATATTTGGAATTTATAAATTTCTCCGAACAATTACCATTCAATTTAGATTCAATAAAGGTTTTTGATAATCTGGAAATTTTGAAAATAATTCATTGTGAAAATTTTGATTTCAAGGAGAATAATTTATATCGATTTCCAAATGCATTTAAGAAGATAAGAAAAGTTACAATTGAAAATTGTATAGGAATTCCTTCGAAATTTTTGAAATCTTTATTATATCGGTAATCTTTTTTTATTATTATTTATAATCAATATTTATTTTTTTTTTAATTTATTTTATATTTATTTATAATCGATATTTATTTATTTTATTTTATATTTATTTTATAATCGATATTTATTTTTTTTTCATTTTTTTTACTATTATTTAATTTATATTTATTTAATTTTTATATTATTTATAATTTTATCTTTATTTTAGGTCGAGTGGTAATCTAAAAGATCTCAGGGTTAGTGGATTACCATGTTTCGCCGAGGTATTACAATCATGTATTGAACATTGTCATGGTTTGCTAAGGATTGAGACAACTTTAAGCAAACAACATACCGATTTATTTATTAATTTATTGAAAGTTTGCAAAGATTTGAGAACTGTTTGCATTGATGATAATGTTTTTATGGATTCATTGACAATGCCAAATTCTTATAATATTAATGAATCTAATGTTGATGATTATGGTTATTATATGAATATTTATAATAATCGGGATAATATGGTTGTATCAAATCAAACGAATTCAACTGAAGAAGGAAACGAATTGTTAGAAAAAATTTCAAAAGTTGTTCCCCCTCATTTAACTACTTTCCTTTCTCGTCTTGATTGGTGGTTTACTCCCGAATCTCTCAAGAAATTCCTTCAAAACTCAAATTCAAAAAATTTAACTACTTTGGGATTCTCAAGATGCAAATCTTTTTCTCATAAACATTTAAATGTAGTACTTAAATATTGTAGTGGTGGTGGAGGACGATGTTTAAAAAAATTAGATTTATGTATAAGTAAAAATATATCTAAAGAAGATATAGATAAAGCAAGGAGATTTATTAAAGAACTTACCTTTTCTGAGGATAAACCTGATTTTCACGAAGAATATCAAGATTATTTATGGGAAGTTGAAATGGATGATAAATTAGAAGATGATGATTATTTGGATTTCGGAGGTGAGGAGGCTTTGATTAGAGAATTTTATGATACTGATAGTGATTATACTGATGAAAATGATGAAGATGAAGATGAAGATGAAGATGAAGACGAGGAAGATGAAGATGAAGATGAAAATGAAGATGAAGATGAATATTATGAAGTAGAGGATGATTATGAGAGTGATGAAGAAGATGAGGATGAGAAAGAATATTATGAAGATTGTTTTTCTTAACGATTAATAATTAATTTTCATTAATAATAAATATTTTATATTTTTGTAATATTTGTGGAATTCCAAGAAATTATTATTTATAAATTATTTTTTTTATTACTATTTAAATAAATTATCATCATAAAATATTTATAAAAATATTTCATAGTTTATATATCGTGTGTTTACTATATTTAACTTTTGTTTAACAATATCACATCATTAATTATAATATATATGAATCTTTATAATAACAATTTTATTCCTATATATTTTTCTTTTCATCATTGTTATTGTTGAAGTTTCCAAATATTCAACTTTTTATGAAAGCAATCAAAACAATCAAGATTCAAAGATGACAAAATTACGACATTAATGTTATTGAAAGAAAATAAATAAATAAATTAGAATTTACAACAGATTATATCGCAAAAAAAATATATTTCTTCAAATAATTTATTTCCGAGAATTAAAAAGGAGAAAATTTTATTTATTAAGCCTTGAATGGTAAACAATTGCGGGCAAATTTGCCCACAATTTTTTACTTTAAATGTAACATATACATATAAAAACGAATTTTTTTTATAAATAGCCGATCAATCTTGGCACGTGATTTATCTCTTTAAACGGCCGATTTTACAGAAATTTATTCTATAATTTTAATTTTCTCATTAGAAATCAATCGGAGCTATAGGATAACTTGATAAGAAAAGTAAATTTTATTATTTAGAATATCTTTAATTATTACCGTATTTAAGGTTTATGAACTAGCATTTTGACTTTAAATAAGAGCAAAAAATATATTAAAAAATATTAGTTTATCTTTGCTACATATAAAAATATTTTTATTGCTTATGGACCATCAAAAATAATACTAAGTAACCTTATTTTAGAGAACATCATTGCATCCACTGTAAAGTTTGAGATTTTTTAAAAAATAAATTGGATAAGTAATTAATGATTTTAAAATAAAATCATTAATTGCTTATCGAATTTGTGTTTTAAATCCCAAACTTTTACAGTGGATGCACTATGTTATATAGAATAAGGTTACTTACATAGTATTATTTTCAGTGATCTGTAAGCAAAAAAATACTTTTATATTCAGCTACGATTGACTGACAAAAAAAAATTCTTGAGATCAAATTAACATGTCAGTTGAACGTAACTACATATAAAGATATTTTTATTGCTTATAAACTATTCAAAATGATACTAAGTAACTTTATTCTAGAGGACATAGTGCATCTACTATAAAATCTTGAGATTTTTAGAGTACAAATTGGATGAGTAATTAATGATTTTAGTTTAAAATCATTAATTACTCATCTAATTTATTTTTTAAAAATCTCAAACTTTTACAGTAGGTACATTATGTTCTCTAAAATAATGTTACTTAGTATGATTTTGGATGGCTCATAAGTCATAAAAATACTTTTGTGTATAACTGCCATAAAAAGAATTAATTTAATGTCAATTAATTGTATAAAAGTATTTTTACAGCTTATGTATTATCCAAAATGATATTACAGTGATCTACAAAAGTATTGCAACATTTTAAAAAAAATTTCAAACCAATATAACTTAAAAATATAGGTCCCAGAATAATAAATTTATATTTATTAAATAACCTTAATTCTGAATTATCTATTAATATAAAATTAATTACAAATTAATTAGAAAGTTTTGAAAATATATTTGTTTATTGAAAATTTCTATGTTATTATATATTTGGTTTTTTAAAAATTCTATATTTTTTAATTTTTTTTAAAAAAAAATAAAATAAAAATAATAAAAAAAAATATATATTCTAATTATTTATTATATATTACCATCTTGTATATCTTCCCCTTGCTTTAATCACATCATTTATATGTTGTGACATTGATTCAATTAACTTAGTACAAATACTAAAATCAATATCATTTCACACATCTTGAATCTGTTTCCATAACTCATCTTTCTTTGTAACTTTTACAGAAAGTTTCCTTAAACATCTGTTTACTTCATTTCATAAATGTTTAATGAGATTTAGATCTGGAAATTGAGCTAACTACTCAAGTACTTCTATGTCATTTTTCTTAAATCACTCTTGAGTAAGTTTGACAGTATGTTTGGAATTATTATCCTGTTGAAAAATAATATTTTCTTTATTTAAATTATATTAAGTTAATGTTCTTAAAAAATTTTCTGTAAGTATTCTTCTATAAAGTTCACTATTCATCTTCTTATCTATTTTACAAAGATTTTTCACACCAAGTAAAATAAAGTATCTCATACCATAATATTTTCTTCTCCAAATTTCACAGTTGGCTTTATATGGAAGTCTCTTAAAGGTTCTCCCACTTTCTTTCAACATTACTCTTTTCTATCATTACTAAAAATATTAAATTTATTTTCATCTGATCAAATTATCTTTGACCAATCTGAAATTATCCAATAGTAATAATTTTTTGCAAAGACAAATTGGTAATTTCAACATATCTTCTTAAGGTATAGTTTTTTTATTTTGAATCTTGTTACTAATCCATTTCTTTTAAGTGTTTACCATATGGTTTTGATAGACATTTTTAAATCTTCCTCAATTTCAAGCTGCTCTAGTACTCGAACTATTGTAAGACTTTATTAAATATTATAAGTCAAAATACCTTTCTCTCATTTCAGTTGTTAATTAGTTAAGGACATTCAAATTTTGACCTATTTTCATTACTACCAATCTCTTGTTTTCATTTATTTATTCTAGAGACAGTAGAAAAATATATGAGCAATATAATGACAAGAGAATCTTTTCTTGAGAAGTGCCATAACCTTGACTCTTTTTTTAATGGTCATTTGTTTTATTAGAATTTTTTTTAATAAAAATTATTTTGATTATGATTGGTAAAAGGTTTTTTTTTTAATAGGATAAAATAATATAATTATTATTTTAGTTATTATTTTTTTTGATAAGTATTTTTTTCATAAATGTCAAAAGAAATACAATAATAAAATAAATAAAAACAATTAACATCAGGTAATACAAAATTTAAATTATAATTATCAATCTACTAATAGTAAATTAAATATAAAACAATTATAAAAATATAATTTTTTTAATTTATTATTAAAATCAACAAAAAATCAATTGATAAAAATTTTTTTTAAAGTGTTGTAATATTTTTGTAAATCACTGTAAAATCTTTGACATGGATCCTTAATAAAACTAAATTGTTGTTCATTGTTTTTAGAAAAGATCAGCAATTTAATAATTTTCAGACCATAGAACATTTTTTTGAATAGTTATTTCTAGTGACCTTAGTAATCCTAGCAAAATTTCGAGTTTTTTACTTTTATTTTTTTTGTTTATTATATATATGTATTATATATATAGTAGTTACAAAAGTGCTGTACCACTTGTTTTTTGTCCTTAAAAAATTATATAATCTAAATAATCAATTTTAGAATAATAATTACTAAGCTTATTTTAATCCTTAAGTTTTGAAAATTTTTTTAAGATATTTTTGATATCAAGTTAATAATCCCAATTTTGCATAAACTATACCTGCCACCCAAATTCAAAATCCAAATGTCAAAATCCCAAATGCCAAAATCCCAAATCCCAAATTCCAAATTATGATTAGTATTTTTTGCCGAAATCCCAAATCTCAAATCCCAAATACTAGTAATTTGGGATTTGGGCAACATGTATAGCATAAACAGATAATCTATATGGTAAATTGTCACTTAATAAAATTTTAATTGTGAATAAAATTTTATACAGAATGGTTATAGTATAGATACTATCCAAATTGAAAATGCTAAATTCCAAATTCCAAATTTCAAATCTCAAATTTTAAATTACTAATTATCAAAATTTCAAATGTCAAATTTCAAATCCCAAATACTATGAAAACTGAATTTTGGCAATCAAAATTTCAAAATAATTTGAAATTTGAATGACATGTATAGGTTATAGCTAAGGTGATTATAAGATTATATCCTTTTTGAGAAGAATAGACATAACAAATTTTATAACAATTGGATCAGTGGTTATTAAGAAATTAACTATTGAAAATTGAAATTTTATTAATAAAAAATTTTTTTTAATTATTTTATTAGTAAAATTTCAATTTTCAAAAGTTAATTTCTTGATAACCACTGATCCAATTGTCATGAAATTTGATATGCCTATTCTTCTCAGAAAGGACTATCAACCTTATAATTATCTTGGTTATAACCATTCTGTATAAAATTTTATTTACAATTGAAATTTTATTAAGTGACAATTTACTATATATAGTGGTATGCAAAAAAAATAACAATTTTTTTAAAAAATAATTTACAAGTATAATTAATCTGATTTAACAAAAATTACACAAATTAATATACAAATAAAAGCCAAATGATTATTTAATAGTCCTGTAATAAAAAAATTTTTCTACATAATAAAAATTATATTTTTACAAGTGTTAAAATAGTACCTTCCAAATAAGAAATTCAACAACAAACCATATTACATTTCTAAAAGCAAGGAATAACTAAAGTTGTTAAAATATACAAATTAACAAAAATTCTACTTATAATTATCTATAGAAACCTAAAAACAATAAAAGAAACTGGTAACATCAAGTATAAAAGAAATAATGGACATATTAAAAAATAATATTAACAGTATCTCATGCTTTTGGGCAGTATATTCAAAGGTAACAATTAATTTCTGTGAAAACTCTTGTTTCTAAATTAGAAGATATTGGAATAAATATTTTCTGGTCAACAGTTTCAAGATATTTGGCTAACTTTGGTTACTGGAATTTTCTTCCTCTTAATATACCAATGCTCAAATCTATTCATAAAGAAAAACGTGTTGAATAAATACAAAAACATAAAGATGATAACTGAAAAAAAAATACTTTTTAGTGACAAAACATCTTTTCAACTATTCTATAACACAATTAAATATTGGTATAAAGAAGCAAAACCAGTGTTACAGAATGAAATTATCATGAGTAAAAAGTAAAGTATATAATAACAAAACACTTACAAATAATTAACAATTACTTTAGAAAATAGTAGTGTTTAGAATTTAATTAGTAAATATTAATTCAATTAATAAATAATGATATTTTAATAATTTTTTAAACTAATATTTATATACAGTAATATATATTAATTAATCACAAAATAGTAATATGAGATTACATGTTCACATTATATAAACATAATTATTAATTTATAATATTAATTATTATCACATTGTCATATCAATATGTGAACAAAGGTCTGAAGGATAACTAATATTCTTTAACTAAACTAACTTAAACTACTTAAATAATTCTCAGAATTTCTTGAGGATCACTAAGATCAACTTAATTTAATTATTTAATAGTGAATTCAAATAAATATTACAAGGTGAATTCTTTATTGTACAGGGTTTTAGTACATCAAATCAGCTTGTCCACTTAATAAGATGTATATACTAAAAAGTATTTATACAAGATTAACTTAGATTTTACTTAGAATTATATGACAAATTAATAAATTAAAGATTTATTAGAGATATTTAATATAATATAACTTTATTAATAAATATAATAATAAATATAAAAATAAAATATAATATAAAATAGAAATTATAAAAGTAAAGATAAATATTAAAAAATTAAATTATATATTAACTAGAAAAAACAACTCTGTTCTGATTTTTTAAACTCTTTAAACTATAAAACTTCTGAACTTCTCTTTTCAGGTTAGGAAAAACTCATATTTATATTCCTTTAATTTGCTGCATGTAACAATCTATCAAATTAATGATTTACTAATTTTAGCAAGAGGTAATTAACCTGGTAATCCATCTGTTACATGCAACAGGTAATTTACCTAGGTGGTTCACCTGGTAATTAACCTGGTGAGCCACTTGTTACATGATCTTTGATTTACATAAATTATAAATAAATAATAAATACATTAATAAATAATATAATAAAAATAAACTAAATTAATATTCTACAATATTTCCTTCTTAGTATTGAGCTCCTGCGAAATGTTCCATATTTTGAAAAAGTTGTTCTCTACATTTTTAAATAAAATAATCAAAATCTACACTAGTTAAATGATATAACCAATTAGAGATAATATATCTGAATTGTAGAATGGAAAATTTGTCAAGTACAGACAATAATCTCTACACTCTATTTGCAATAGTTAAGAATCGAGCACCATTTTGACTGGTTATTTGTTGAACTTCTTGTCTCAATTATTTCATAGTTAATTGTTATTCAACAAGATCTCTTGATAATAAAGATCAAGATTTTGAATATGCAAAGAGTTGTTGTCCATTTATTTTTACAGTATTAATGGCAATATTTACAAGAGATAAAATATCTCCTTTATCATATAATTTGAGGTCAAGGTCAATTTCAGCATTACATACATCATCAATATATCTATTGAAATTTTGAGATCGTGTTCATCAATAATAAGTAAGAATTATTAAAGACGTAAGAACTACTTTGTACAACAATTCGTATAAAGGTCATTTGTATATTAACAGAAGTATAATCTAATTGTAAACTTTAATAAAGTTCTAATAATCTAACACGTTGAGTTTCTAAAAGTTGAAGTTCCATGATTTGTAAAATTTTACAGAACTTAAGAAAAATGAGATCTTTTATATAATAAAATTTGTGTTCAGATTATACATGTTCCCAAAATTGATTTTGGATTTTTGAGGTATTTCGACTTTTTGAGATTTATGCAAAATCTATTCTATATATGGAAGTAAAAAAAGTACCTAGTTATATGTATCTTTAATCAAAGAATAAATCTGGGTGGTCAAAAAATTTCAGGTTTTAAGTAAAATAATTTCGTCTTCTATAAAAAACTATTTCGACTTTTTTCCCGAAATTGCAATTTCGGAGCCCCAAAATAATTTTGCGTGCAAGTATAGTTCAGATGTTTAATTAAACTTTGACTAATTTGGAGTGATTATCACATGGGGTTCTATAAGATGCCTTTGTTTATAATGTTTTAATCACTCTACATAAACAGGATCAGGTAATGTATTATCAATTTTATCTCTTATCAAGTAAACCTTATTACCTAACTTCTTTTCTATCCAAAATAGTCCTGTCCATTTAGGATTAAACTTTTGTCCATGTACCTGTCTTTTAGTGAAATTATATAATAATACGATATTATTTTCATGATACTCATGTGCTTTAGTCAAATGTTTTTGTCTTTCCTTTTGTAACTCCTGCACACTTCTTACATTTCTAGAAGAGATTATAAGGGCATCAGTGAAAGTTCCTATTAAAGAACTGATCCTTTGTTCCAAAGTCTCTTCATAAGTTAAGATAGAATAATTTTCCTTATCTTTAAACTTAACATCAACAGGAAGTTGTACTTTTCTTCTATGTACCAAATAAAAAGAAGTATATTTTGTTGATTCATACTTCAGGGTTTGATAAATAAAGAGTACTGAAGGTATTAATTGGTTTCAATTAGATTAACTAGTTTGTAAACATTTTGCAATGAACTTGCACAAGGTTCTATTGAATCTCTCTGTTAATCTATTTATTTGATTATAATAAGACAATGCCAATTTTATGTTGAAATTCTATTTCCACTTTTAAAAGTTTGATTGTATTATTTACAAAGTGAGTACCTCTATAAAACAAAACTATTAATAGAATTTCATATTGACAAATAATTTTCTCATAAAGGAATTAAGTAACTTCTTTAGCTGTTACTGTTTTTATGACATGTGCTTCAAACTATTTGATAAAATAATCTGTTGCCACTATAATATATCTGTTTCCATTTTCAATTGTTTTCAAAGGTCCAACATAATTAATTTCTATTTGAAAGAAAGGTCTAATAACTGGTATAAATTCAGTTAATTATATCTTTTGGAGACTACCAAATCTTTAACAACTGTTACAAGATTTGATATATACTTTAATGTCCTTTCCTATTGTAAGCTAATAATATCTTTCTAAAATTTTCTCAATTGTTTTCTTAAATCCAAAATGTCTTCCTAAGGGAGATGAATGTAGATTATATAAAATTCGTTTTCTGTTCTGCAGAGTTATTACTCGTAATAGTTTGTTAAAATTGTTTTTATTTTTCTTTAATAATTACATTTATTCTATCAAATATTGTATCGCTTGCCTTACTAGTCTTTGTTTATCACTTGTTATAAAATTTTCTAGATATTTATGAAATAATAAATAATTAATGAAGTTATTGTACACTTCCAAGTCTATTTTGAATGATTTATTTTGTGTTTATTTATAAAATTAAATTAATATGAGAAATTCAGAAGACTATGTACTGGAGTTAGGGTTATTAATAGAATATAATAGGTTGGGTTGGGTTCATATTATAGCAAAGCAATGGTCAACCCAACTCAACCCGGGTTAAATGTATTACTGGTACTCCGTGGGTTGCTCCGCGGGTTGCTCTGGGTTGCTCCGGGTTACTCCATGAAGTAATAATTATAATTAGTAAAACTAATCAGAAATAATTATCGATCGTTGCTACATATAAAACTTTTTATTTTAATAAGTAAACGTTAAAAAAGATACTAAATAATATTAAAGACAAAAATGAATTGCGTATCATATTTAAAGAATAGATGTATATCATCAAAATTGAGAGAATAATTAACGATTAAATTTCGAATAGATGAAAAAATCTTAAAACGACAATTATTCGTTCAATTTTGATAATATAGATCTGTTCTTGAAATATGATATATAATTCATTCTCATCTTTGAGGTTACTTAGTAACGTTTTTAATATTTACTTATTATTTTTTTTTTTTTTTTAACTATCGGAGTCTTGTTAGACACTTTATTAAATAAAACAAATGTTAAATTTACATGTTGTGTTCTAACTACCTACTCTAAACT